AAAAAAAAAAAAAAAAAAAAAAAAAACAAACCCATCACATGACAGGAATGTCTGCATCGCAGCGGTATGGAAGAACGACCGACCTAGACCGGTCCAGACCGTGGTGGGGATGGGGGACTCCGTACAGTAAGTTACCGGGAGGAAGAGCTGGGGGGACAGACAGACAGGCAGACAAGATGCATTGATGCGCAGGCGGCCGACCGAAAGGAAAAAAAGCCTGTTTGTTTTGTTTTGTTTTGTTTTTATACTTTTTGGTTTCGTTTGGTTTGGTTTCTGGTTGGGTCTTTTTTTTGGGTTTTTTGGTTTTTTGGTTTTCTGGGGCTGACGGGACTGGAGCAGGGCGGCGTTCGCCGTGGCGCGGTGGGTGTGTAGCTTATCTGTTGATGGGTTGGGGTTGGGTGCTGAAATCAGGGATTCGATTTACTTACTTACTGACCTGGATGGTTTGTCTGGGTGTGGTTATAGTTGTCGAGTCATAGCATGTGAAAAACGTCTAGAGGCTCTCTCTTTCTTGTCTTGATCCATACAATCTAAGGAGCAGTAGCAGCAGCACTCACCCGTCAGCTACTGCTGCTGCTGCTGCTGCTGCGCCTTTTCCTCTCCTTCCCCCCCCTCATCCCCATCCTCAACATACACATGATACTTATACCGACTCCCCGGATGATCCGCGCGTAACTCCCTCTGCCCGACGCCATACACCTTCTCGCGCATCGTCACGCCTTCCTCCGGGACGGAATCAGGATACAGCCCGCGCCGCCGCAGCTCGGGCACCAACAGGTCGACGACATCCTCGAAGGTGCCCGGGGTCGTCACATACGCGAGATTGAAGCCATCGAGGTCGGCCTCGCGCACCCAGCGCTCCATCTCATCGGCGACCTGGCCGGGATCCCCGACGGCGAGGGGGCCCAAGCCCCCGATCGCGGCCTTCTGCGCCACCACGCGCGGCGTCCAGCGCGGCACCTCGGGGCTGGTCGTGGTGAAGGCATCCAGCATGCTGCGCACCTTGTGGGCCTCGGTGCTGTCCGCCGCCGTGATGTCCTGATCGATCGGGATCCTGGAGATGTCCACGCCCGTCCACCCGCTGAACAGCACCAGCCCGCCCACCGTCGACGCGTACCGCTGCGCCTCGGCCAGCTTGGCCCGGGCCTCGCGCTCCGTCCGCCCGAGGATCGGCGTGAACGTCCCGAAGAACTTGAGGGACGCCGGGTCGCGCCCCTGCGCTGCGGCCTGCGCGCGGATGGCCGCGATCTTCGGGCGCAGCACGCCGGGCGCGTGCGCCGACACGAAGATCGCCTCCGCGTGCGTGGCCGCGAACTGCGACCCCGCCGCCGACGTCCCCGCTTGGAACAGGAAGGGCGTGCGTTGCGGCGACGGGTCCACGATGTGCCGCGTCGACAGCTGGAAGTATTTGCCCTGGTGGTGGATCGTGCGCACCTGCGCCGGGTCGATGTAGCTGTCTTCCGCGGCGTTGGGGGCGAGCGCGGTCGGGGACCAGGAGGATTCCCACAGTCTGTTTTACCGGTGTTAGTTCTGGTAAGAAGAGGGGGTGGGGGGGGTGGCCTACTTGTATAGCACGCGCAGGTACTCGTCGGCTTGGGCGTAGCGCTCGTCGTGCTCGATCGGAGTATCGATGCCGATGGCTTTGAAGGCCGCTTTCTTCCACGAGGTCACGATGTTCCAGCCGATGCGCCCGTCAGTCAGGTGGTCGAGGGTGGAGAAGCGTTTCGCGAGGAGGAAGGGCGGCTCAAAGGAGGTGGAGGCTGTGATGCCGAAGGCGAGGTGTTTGGTCACTGCCGCCATGGCGGAGATGGGCTGTTCGGGCGGGTTAGCGTTCAGGGTATCTAATACATAGAGCAGAAGATGTGTAACTGGGTGAGGGGAGGTGAGATGTCTGAGGGGGAGGAGCATTCGATGTAGATGACGCTCTTTAAGAGGCCCGGGCTCCCTCGTCGTTGACATCTCGAGGAAACAGGGGGTTCGTGGGCTTTCTCCCTCGGGTGCCCAGATCTGAGGGTGGAGATGAACGGGAAAGTAAAATAGTGCAGGGATGAGGGTAACTCAGTCCTCTCGCCTGCATGGCTAACTGACAAAACGAGAGATTCAGGTCTCCTCGTATCCGGTATCCGAAACATCCGCTATGAAACAGCTGAAAAGAACGTACAATCGTGGGATCCGTCATCGGCCACTGCGCCGCCCGTCGGATGCATTCATCCAGACTCCCCTCGTACGTATCATATCCCCCATACGTGTCCGCCAGGAACAGGGCCGTGATGCCCCCGCGCTCCAGCAACTGGGCCAGATCCGTCCAGTACTTCAGCGTGCGCTTCGTCCCCGACCGGTCCTTGGGGTTCTTCCACTGCCCGGGCGACAGGTGGCCGACGGTGGACATGTCGAACGCGTTGAGCAGGATCTGCTTCTTGGGTGCATCGTGGGTAGCTGCCGTGGATGACATGATGGTTGGCCTTTGCTTTGCGTTCGCTCTTCGGTGTTCAAGCTCAATGGTTCAAGGTACAGGTACGCTCATATATAGCGGTATAGTGTCGATTACGGCGACGAGCATACCCCTCACGCGCCATCAATTGATCGCATTGCGTGACATTGTCGAGGATGCGTTTCATGGGTTAACGATTTAGCACCGGTGCTCTGTCCACAGAGTAGCAAGAGGATGTTCCAACGGAGTAGTTCCGAGATAATGCATGTTGGGAGATTAGCTGGTGTCGTGAGGAGATGGGGTTATGGCGTGCTGGGATTCTCTATCGGTCGAGAGGGATGCTGAGGCTATAGGGTGTGGATGCTGAATCTGTTCAGTCTAATACCCTTGAGAAACAAAAGTAAGCATGTCTAGAAGTGTTTTCACTTCCCATTTGATTGGATACAGTCTTGGTCTGTGCGTGCATCGTTGATGAGTATATGTAGCTGGACTCCGCGCGGGCATGTGGATAGCTCACTTTGGACAAATGAGGGACTTGAGAAAAAAAAAGATTTCGCATGAGCAACATATCATCGAAAATACTATCTTGATGCAGATGCCTCTGGATATTTCGCCCGATATGTAGTTCAAAAAATGAAACTGCATTGACCACCTTCGCACCTCATCTAAGCCAGACAATCAACCAGCATTCCCATGGCATTTAACACCCCAATCGCGCTGGATATTCCTCACACCAGAACTATCTACTGCATTGATGACACTCGCACTCGTAAAAACCCTCGTATAGCCCGTACCAAACCTCGATATTGAAGATCTTTGACGGGCGAAACCGGAAAGGTGGGGAACTCGGATGACGTCGGTGGGGAATCTCCTCAATTCGCTTGCTCTCCTGCAGCTCTCGCTGCTCGCTCGCTGCCTCCATTCCTCCTCTGATTCACAACTGCAACCTCGACAACTTCACGTCTGCCTCAACCAGTGCGTCTTCCACCAACACCTCTTCTAACATGTTCACCAGACAGCTTCTAACCCACTCTCTACGAAGGTCCATCTCATCACTGACCAGATACCCCACAACCACTTACTATCCTCTCCGTACATTCCACTGATCCACCGCCGCCATGTCGGGAGTCAACAAGGCCTGCTGCTCGTGAGCATCATACCTGTCCCAGTCTATCTGCCTCAACTGACGAACCAGGATCCCCCCCGTCGTCGCCAAGGGCTACCAGCCCAAGGGTGAATACAAGACCATTGGCGGTTTGAAGACTTGTCCGTATCCCCAGCTTCAGCTTCCAAGCTCATCTCCAGCCAGCCCAGCTAATCCCCAGCAGATGTCACCGGTCCCGAGTCCGCCTCGAAGGCCATCCTCGTCATCTACGGTTAGCACCTCTCCCTTTGTTACACCTCCGCCCCATCTAACCGGACACAGACATCTTCGGCTTCTTCGACCAGACCCTGCAAGGCGCCGACATCCTCGCCCACTCCAGCACCCAGAAGTACCGGGTGTTCATCCCGGATTTCTTCGAAGGCAGCCCCGCCCACATCACCTGGTTCCCGCCGCAGACCGACGACCACAAGCAGAAGCTGGGCCACTTCTTCCAGACCAAAGCCGCGCCGCCCAACAACCTCCCCAAGATCCCGGGGATCGTGGCAGAAGCCAACCAGCTCGCCCCGTCCGGGCGCTTCGAGTCCTGGTCGATTCTGGGGTACTGCTGGGGCGGCAAGATCGCGACGCTGGCGACGGGCCAGGAGAACTCGATCTTCAAGGCGGCGGTGCAGTGCCACCCGGCCATGCTGGACCCGGAGGACGCCAAGAAGGTGAGCGTGCCGATGGCGGTGTTGGCGTCCAAGGATGAGAAGCCCGAGGACGTGGAGCAGTTCGGCCACAATCTGGGGCAGCCCGGGTATGTGGAGACGTTCCCCACGCAGATTCACGGGTGGATGGCGGCGCGGTCGAACCTGGAGGACGAGGAGGTGAAGAAGGAGTATGAGCGCGGGTACAAGACGGCGCTGGGGTTCTTGGAGAAGTATGCTTGATTTGGTTTGTACTGCACTAGGTTGTACTGTACCAGTTTGTACTGTACTAGTTTGATGTGATGTGTAATGTTCAAAAGTCAGTGTGATTGTTGAGCAATCGAAACACATTTATACATTTACTTCTGTCCTCATCTAATCGTATCACTGTTCCTCCTCTTCCAAAAATAGTAAATACCTAGTAACGTTAGCTCCTGCTCAGCTCAGCTTGGAAAGCAAGCGGTCACATTCTGCCCACCCGTCCGAATCCCCACCCAGCCATCCAACCAACCACCACCTCCATCCCATCTTCACCGCCTTAATCCATTTCATCACGCTGCGTCAGCTCCAGCCTGTTGTTCCCTCAGCTTCCACTCCAATTCTATCTTCACCACCCACCACCAACCACCTACCCCCAACCCCCAACCACCAAACCACCAAACCACACCACCAAGTCCATCCTCATCTGATCTCCACATCTCATTCAAAAACAAGAGCGCAGACTGGACCAAGTCCACGTCGGTGCCCGCACCGCACCGCACCGCACCACACATCCAACACAACACACACACACTCTCCTCCCAGCAAAGACAACCACACAAAATGCCCGACTCCCCACCACCACAACGACGACGCTCCCGCTCCCGCTCCCGCTCCCCACCCCGCCAGCCCAAGAAATCCTCCACCGGCGGCTTCCGATGGAAGGAGAAGCGTCGTCCGGAGCGCGGGGAGGACGACGACGCCGCCGCCCGAAGGTTAGATCGGGGGTATCGCGCGCGGTCGCCGCGGCGGGAGTACGAATCTCGGGATGAGGCTCGAGGGGGTGGGTATGATCCCCGGGATCGACGGGACTACTCCAGCCGAGACGGACGGGATGCGCGAGACCGTGAGCGTGATCGTCGGGGGTATCGCGATCGAGAGAGGGATGACCGGTACCGCGACCGTCACCGCGACAGCTACCAACCCCGAGATCGAGACGACCGCGACCGCGACCGCGACCGACCGGCCGAAAAGCCCATCTCGACCTCCACCGACGACCCCGCCAGGAAAGAGAAGAAGGAGAAAAAGAAGAAACGGCCGGCGATCCCCTCCGAGCCCATGATCCTGGTGCATGTCAACGACCGGCTGGGCACGAAGGCCACGGTGCCCTGTCTGCCGTCGGATACGGTGGGGGATCTGAAGACGCTGGTGGCGGCGCAGATCGGGCGGGCGCCGCGCGAGATCCTGCTGAAGAGGCAGGGGGAGCGGCCGTTCAAGGATTTTATCAGTCTGGGGGACTATGGGATTACGAATGGGGTGCAGTTGGATTTGGAGATCGGGACGGGGGATTAGATCCCTTTGGGGTGCCATGGTTATTCGGTGGCGGACAGACCGACTAGAGGATAATCTGATGATGTGCTTCGGGGGTTTTTAGGCTTGCCTGCGTGTCCTCGCCATTGCTGAGATCGTCGTCTTCCAGCTCCTCCTGTAGCTGTAGCTGTAGCTGTAGCTGGCGCTGGCGCTGGCGCTGTGTCTCGCGCCACTCGCCCAACCACCCGCCGACGAACCCGATCACCTCGCCTTGGGCTTCCCGCACGCCCCTTGGAGGCACCACCCTCTTCCCCTCCCAGTACTCCTCCACTCCAAACACCCCGTTCTGATCCCAGTGATGCACCCCGCCCTCCATGCCATCGTACACCTCCTCCGCGGGCACACCGATGAGAAGCATCGGCTCCTCCGCCGTGGAGTTCCTCACCGGCAGCCCCGTCGCGAAGGGGCTCGCCTCCTTCCAGGGATCGGCCCGACCGCCGATGTGCGCGACGCGGGGATACGAGAAGGCGAGCCCGCCGTACCGGTTGATGCGGTCCGTGTCCGGCGGGGTGGTGATGCCGTAGGTGGCATTGCACATGTCGACCCAGAAGGCCGGGGTGAGGAGGCGCGAGACGAGCGGCGCGATGTGCGCCGGGACGGTCGACCCGGGCATGAAGTAGCCCCATTCCGTGCAGACCTGGTAGTTCCAGCTGGTCGAGGCCGTGCGGGGGAGGCGTTTGTCGTCGCCTGCCTCACGCTCACCCTCATCCTCCCTCTCAGCGTCCTCAGCGTCCGAGAAAACCCCCTCCCGCCTCACAAACCCCACCCAATTCACCAGCCCCGTCACCAACTCCTCCACCTCCTTGCCATCGCCATCGCCATCTCCATCTCCATCTCCACCGCCAACCTCCCTCACCAACCCCCTCACCCTCGCCCCCACCTCCCCCTCCAACCCCTCATCCAACACCTCCGACGCAGTGATATTCCCACAAAACCACCCAAACCCGCGCCCCCCAACGCTCGGCTCCCAATTCCGCTCCTGCCACAACCCCAACGGCTCCGCCAACCCGGCCACGAATTTCTCATCCGTGAGACCCGGCGCACTGCCCCCGAACACCCCCTTCAGCACTTCCGCATGGTCTTTCGATCCGGAGGGTGACCCCTTTCCGTGGGAAGATGCTGCCGCCGCCGCCGCCGCCTTGGGCAAGAGAAGCACCCGATCGACCCACGCGATGAGCGCCTGCTGCGCGGCGACGCATTGCGCGGGCGCGTGCGCGCGGATCGGCTCATAGTACGCCCAGTAATCCGCGATGGCGGCGGTGACGCCGGAGCTGGAGATGGAGGCCCAGAAGAGGTCCGGGTGGGCGTGGCGGAGGAAGGCGACGAAGGCGCCGGCGTAGGAGCCGCCGTAGGCGATCCAGGGGGTGGTGGCCGGGGAGAGGTCGGGGATGGGAAGGTGGGTGGCGAGGTAGGCGTAGTCGGCTAGGGCTTGTTCGGTGGTTAGGTAGGTTAGGGTGGATAGGGGGATGGTTTGGTTGTCTTTCTGGGAAATGCTGTCAGGGTAACTCGTCCCGTAGTAGCGGTGTTCCACGATTAGGGCCGCCCCCTGGTAGATCCGCGCGAGTTCGTGGACGATCCCCTGCGATAGGAAGGGGAGGCGGTTCAGCGCCGAGGTCTCGCCGCCGGCGATGAGGAAGACTGGCCCGCCTGGTTGGTAGTGGCTCGTGTCGAGGATGTAGCGGAGCGGGAAGGTGAGGTTCGTGGCTGGGTAGCGTGCGGAGGCGGGGAAGTGGTTGAGTGGGGTTGTTAGGTTCTGGATGGGGAATTGGGCTTGTTCGTGGGCTGTCGGGGTGTATTCTTTGTTGTTGTTGTTGTTGTTGTTGTTGAGGTGGGTGTTTAGCCCGCTTAGGGCTAGGGTGGTGGTTGTGTAGTAGAGGAGGAGGAGGAGGTTCATTGTTGTTGTTGTTGTTGGTTTGGGGTGGTGGGAGGGGAGAAGATAGGAAGGGTTGCGTGCGGGGAGATTGTGTTTATATATGATTATGATTATGATTATGATTACTAGTGCTAGCAAGGTAGGGTGCTAATCTCCTTGCTTGGTCCGATTGTCTCCGAGTGGGGACGGAGGCTGGAATGTTACAGTGGGTGTTGCAGATAGGCTTTCAATGTGCTCTTGGCTGTTACACGGCTATGTTTATCTACAACCGCTTAGGGTGTTACACATTCACTTAATCCTAGAAATACTCATCGCCCTACAGTTCCACGCGAGGTCCCGTGAAGTTCTTCCGCCCATCCACCACCCACTGCATCAGCGAGATGATCAGGATGATCCCAAATGCAACCACGCAATAATCTACCCCAGTCAGTCAGCAGCTGCCAATGAATATACTATGCATTCATCCAGCCAGGGAGCTTACTCATGTTGCTGCCCGTCACGGGCCGGTCCGGGGGAAACACAAACAACACTGTGGTCAGTGCGATATACGAGAGAGAGATCTGGCCCGTTAGCAGGGAACATCCCCCCCAATAGCAACCCACTCACCATGTCAATCACCCAGCCAATCTTGTTGGGGATCTTCCATTTGCGATCGGGGAGTGTCCGTCGTCCGCGCAGGCAGTTCACCGCGATCGGCATCGCGTACGAGAGATCCAGAAGCACGACCGACGCCGAGACGATGGCGTTGAAAGCCCTATAATCCTCAGCGCAGCTCATTTGAACACAAGGAAAAACATACGAGCTCGAGCCAAGGTAGATAAAGCCGAAGATTATCACCACGACGGTGGTCAGAATCAACGCATTCAGAGGGAGTCCGAGGCGGGGATGCACCCGCGCGAAGAACTTGGACGCCGGCAGTCCGCCGTCTCTGCAAGTTCGTCAGTGGCAATCTTCACTCGTGGGAGGCAAGCAGCCTACCGTGCAAAAGCAAAGATCATGCGACTGCTGGTCGTCATCACGCTCAACGTCGCGAACAGCAGACAGACCAGGGGAAGCCTGGATCGGACCCATTAGCAACACTTTTTGGGGTGGGTGGGCCGCACATACATGAGGAGGCAGATGGCGCCGGCGCGGTTGTTGGTCGCATGGATGAAGATCTGCAGTAGGGGCCCGGCGCTCGAATTGACCACCTCGTCGATGTCGCCGGCCACGAACAGCAGCACGATGAGGAAGATCGCTCCGGTGAACGTGCCGATGCCCACGCAGACAACCATGATCTTGGGGCCTTTGATGGACGGTTGTGGGATTTCTGGTCGGTCAGTTGGCGCCTAGGAGCTAGGAGAGAGCAACTTTACCTTCAATCATGTGGCAGACCGCATCCTGGATCGATTAGTGCTGATTGGCAGACGTTCGATGGGGAACTCACAAACGCGGTCACTCCGAGTCCACCTTGCAGCAACTGGGTCTGTTAGCGACATCGTCACAAATCGACGACTGTACTCACACCTAACAGCCAAGCCACACCATCCGGCCCTAATCATGTTAGCGATGCTTGCGAACGTCCAACACTCGAACTCACAGCCAGTCTGGTTGATGAAATTGGTAAACACAAATCTGCAGCAGTTGGTCAACTAGTCCCAGCGCCCGAGCAACGCAGCTTACGAGGCAGAGTTATAGTCCGGCGAGGCACAAGCCAGCACGGTAATCGACACCAGCACGAATCCGCCAATCGACCAGGTGACTTAAGTAATTTCATCAGTTCAAGCCCATCAACCACCAAATAAATCCAGGCAAACGTACAAGCACCACGATAGATGATCGGAAGCACCGAGTTCATGAACCCGTTCACCACAAACGCCAGCACCGTGTAGGCGATGTACATGAGGAAGTACTGCCACCGTTGCCACGCGAATTCCTGGGATCGACAGTCAGCAGCCCATGGCCCCACAGAGAAGAAACGAAAAGACGTACAGGGTAAACCGAGGACACAATCCCCGCGATCAGCTGACAGGAAAGCAAGGCATTCGTAGCCACCAGCGCAACCTAAACTGTTAGCCTCGCATACACTCCAACATAATAAAGGAGCCTCACCCATCCAGCCACATTGACCCAGCCAGTCACCCAGGATAGAATCGGCACCCAATTCGGCCAGGAAACTGGTGGTTCGGTGAGACAACGCGATACAAGGGGGCGCCCAGCAGCGAAGAAGACATACTAGCTGCGCCGTCGTCAGTCAAACAGACCCCTTTAGAGTTCCACGAAAGAAAAGGGAGGAAAGGGCACGCACCAGCCACCCAATGATACTGTCCGCCTGCCGTGGGATACGCCGAGAGGAATTCCGCCAGCGAGATGGCGATGCACAGGTTACATGCTCCGGCGGTTACCAGACCTGGTCGTTGTTACCATGAGCACAACTGCGGTAGACCGACCCGACGACGATCCACCCCGGATTGGAGCCAGACAGCTGGACAATACTTACCCCAGACAACACTCACACTGCCCCCAGACGGTAGGCTGAGCGATAGACTGGCCGACAGAGCCGTCCACGACTACCCTCGATCATTAGTTCTTCCGCCCTTTCATACGCGGGGCTTCTCTCCGATTGCATCGAGAACAAAACATACATTCAGCACCGCAAACGCCAAGCCCAGCATCGATCTAATTTTCTCTTCATAATTAGCATTACATTGCCTTTTGTGGCCAGATAATCAGAGAAAACCGGGGTCGACCGCACAGGGTAGAAAAGTTCCGATTCAGCTCGGCCTTATGCCCCATCTGCGCCAACTGGACGTCATCATCCTCATTCTCGAGGTGCGGTTGCTTCTTCTCGTCCATCATTGCTGTGGTCATTATAGTTTCGAATTGAAATCGTCCAGAATTGCCATCAGCAGAACACTGATTGAAAATTCAGAGGCAGACGTAAGGCGGGGGGGAGAGACAAGTAACTTAAATCGCCGAGAGGGGGGAGGGGGGGGAACTGGTACTTGGTTGGTATCGGCGATTGACACGCATCAGATCTAAGGATGCATGCGGTATGTCCACCCAGGGTTGCGGGGGAAGCTTAATTTACTCTGCGGGCCGGGATGAGATGACACCACGAGCCAGACGGTACGCTAAGGCGATAATGGGTTTCAAGTCGGTTGGTGCATTCACTTATCTCCTTATATATGATTTCTCCCATGCATGGGGAGACAATGTACGCGGTAGTCATCAGGACGATAGTAACTTAGTACTAGTCAGCATCTAGTTGAGGCTGGCAAAGCCCGCGGCAGGCAGAATTTATCGCTTGAGGGCTTATCGGGCCAATCAGCGGGTGGGATGCCGTCCCCGCCTGGACATGCCCGATTGGGGGATCTTTTCGTCTTCGACAGTCTATCTTGTGTAGGGGGTTATCTGGGGGTGATTATTCTGAGCTCATCAGTGATAAGATATATGATCACTAAGGTTGGATACCTACTGTAATTAAATAAACTCATTATCTGCTGCAGTCAGGGGGTATGTTGTTGCTCATGCCACGCAGCCCTAATCCCGGATTCTTGTCCCCGAGCTGTGGGTCGCTCGCTGCTTCCGGTTGAACCTGCGATAAGATAAGTGCAATAGCTGGGATTCTGTAGGTACACTACATATATGGAGTCTAGAGTAGACGACCTCGCCGGTCGCCGCCCTCATCGATATTCGGTGCAGCTTAATATAAGCCCTGCTTTCACATCTTAGTACAATGTGTGAGGATGGTACAGCATGCCGAGTAGTTCGGCTCCCTGGTGCTGCTTTGAAGGTCCGTTGAGACCTGTCTTTTGGGTAGCATACATTATGCATAGATCTACACGCTCTCAACCACCAGAACCTTTCTTTGTTGTGTCCAAGATCAAGCAAAACTGGCTCTCCAGCTAGCTAAGAGTCACTATTACATACCGGAAGAAATCAGTCAAGCAGAATGAGAAAGAAGGGGGAAGAAGAAAAAACCCAAAGCGAACAAGACCAGACCAATCCGAACCAAACCAAACCAATACTCCATTCCGTCTCACCAAGAAAAATTCCTCGTGCCCAGTCGAGAAGACCGAAGATCACACCCCCGGAAGCACCCTGGTCTCCCCCGTCGGCTCCCCAAGGAACCACTGCGCAAAGGTCCTGATCAAGGTCTCGTCCTTCTCCCGGAGATCAAACAGCCGCGTTGGACGCATCACCACCGAGCTGCCATCGAAATATGCCTCGATGACCCGGGCGTGTTGCGGTCCCAGGAAGGAGAGAAGAAGGACCTATTTTCATAATCCGAACTCAGCGGTTTTACTTTAAACTTGGAAGGGCGTAGGGCTTCGCGTTCGGAATTTGATGCGGGAAGGAGAGAAGGTGATTCTCACCGGCACAGTCGAATGTTCGAAGAAGCGAGACCGTCTCATCTGCCCGTTGATCACGTGAAGAGCGATCACAACCTCGCCGCGCAGCAGCGTGTTCTCGTTGCCATCGAGGTTGTTTTAGACCATGGCCTTCATGTGCGGGAACTCCCGACCCCTCTTGGCCTCGACGAGCTCGGGGGTGCCGAACTCGGGCTCGTTGCACTCGAATAGGTCTTCGAACGGGACAGTCATATCAAACTGTTGGGGAGATGGTCTGGTGTGAGATGGCGAGATCGATGATGCATAGACGACACGATAAAATACCAGATGCTGACGACTATGGAATCTAACTTACCTCAAACCCTTCCACAACCCATCGAGGATGTAGTTCTCGCTGTGAATCGCGCAGCCAAGACAAAAGGAAGAGTAATAAGAGATCATGTTGCGGGCGCAGTCAATGGGGCGTCGGAAGATCGGGTTGACAGATTTGAACTCCTGGTACTTCGTCCTGCTCTCCTGATCATGCTCGTCATCTGGGACCATCAAAAGATGGGCAGGGCATGGTTCGAAGAAGCTAGAGCTGGCGCTTGAATTTTCGTCCAGCTCCATAGTCGAGACGTTTATTCGTTGCGTCGCCAGTTGGCTTTAATCAAGTTCATGCGCTTCGAGCCCCTCAACGTGGTTTTTGATTGCACGGAGCGCGGACCGTAGCTCCTTGTGCTTTGCGGGCTCAGGAGAATGCATGTTTTTGAGACTGAGCAATCGGGTTGCATATGCGAGGTATACTGCGGCATAATACTTCATTCATATTCAATCAACGAGTGACTGATGTTGGGACCATTGTCTCCCATTATCTCTTTGTCTTAGGCCTCCGGACAGAAATCTCTTCCTTGAAGAGAACGGCCGCACATATCATGAATATTGGAGAGGAGTCTGTATGTTACCGTGTGATGAAGAGGAGCAGGACCGTCTTGATCTGTTCCATAAGCTATTCACGGTAGCACGGGTGTCTGCCAGCTTAATTTACGCGCCAGATCCCAGGAATGGTAGATTCTTCGATGTGGGATTTGGGACAGAGACCTGGGCTATCGATGTCGCCCATAAATATCCCGATGCCTTTGTTGTTGGGATGGATCTGTCCCAATCACCCCAATAACTGCCAATTCGATGCGACATCTAACTTTGAGAGTCCTTGGCCGCTTGGTGAAGACCCCTGGGATCTTATTCATCTGCAGATGGGATGCGGCAGTGTCGTGGGTTGGCCAAATATCGGCAGGAGAATCTTAAGGCATCTTCAATCAGGGGCGTGATTTAAACAGATGAAAATCGATTTCGAACCTCGCTGCGCCAATTGCTCTTTGAACGCACTGGCACTAGGCCAATGGTACCAGTACCTAAAGCAGGCAACACAGGCCACTATGTAGCCCATAGCCCACAACTCGCGTGATACAATCAGAGCCCGGAAAGAGGCAGCTTTTACCCAAATCGACCATCGGATGATGAAATTGCCTCTCAATCCTTGGCATGATGATGAACATGAGACAAAGGTTGCTCGCTGGTATAGCCTAGCTTTTTCCGAGAGTCTCGAGACCCTCAGTCTTGCTCCTTTCAGTCGCGTGCTCAAATGGCCTTTGGATAGGATCAGACATCTAGCAGCTGAGGCTAACTCAGAGGCCTTTAACAAGGAACTCCGTGCTTACAATATCTTACTAAGCGAGCCTTTCCGTGGGAACAAAGTGTTGCAGGATAAGCCATGCCCCAATATCCTCTCTCAGTGAGCTTCCTCTCTAGCCTAAGATTGCGCATAGCCAACAATATGAATACTGTAAAAGAGTACTATCCCCATCCTTGTCAAGAAAACACACCCATTACCCTCCACGATATTTCAAAGGAACAGAAACAGTCCTATCTTTCGTTAGATAAGAGTATTGCCTTTGTCAGAGCGTGAGCAAGGCAAACTCACAGTATTGGGTGTACTATGTTCAAAAGCCAGCCATATCTTCTGATTGGTCCGGCCAGACACATGCCTGGACCTCAAAGCTAAATAATAACCCTTCATCGCAGGTGTAGACTATAGCGGTGCCGCCATTTTCGGTATCGCATTTTATCCATTTCGTGCCATCTCCAGGATACGGCATGTGTGATACTTCTTGTGTTGCTGTCGCACACACTATGTCTCCGATATCGCCAGCCGGGGTGCCTGAAGCGTCATCCTGGGCATTGGTGAGGAGGCAGAGGAGTGCAGTGCCAGTGAGGAGAAAAGTGTAGCGCATTATTCGGCAGAGGAAACTGGCAATGCGGAATGGTAATTAGTATATTTTGGTCACCTGAAATGAAAGGTCACTAGGCCTGCATTGACGGGCTCTTGGAACATGGAAAGGGGTTATTCTTATATACTTGTGATCGACTTCCAGCTGATACGCCGATCCCATGTTGACCATTTGCGCTGCATGCTGGAATCAGCTTAGTGGATGGAAGCAACGCATGCCCAGGCACTAGCTTAGCTAGTACCATGCTACTGTTGGTGTGATCTAACTCATGAAGGCTTTTCGCTCAGTGTTGACTTGGTCCCATTTGCTGGATTCAAAGAGTGATTACTCCACACGATCGTTCCAAGTCTCCTGGTGCATATTTCGGGATTTGGAAACTCCGACTAGCGGTGAGGGTACTATGGCAACCGGAGTTTTGGATGTCCTCGCCCCTCGGAGGTCATACTGCTTTAGAATGAGATTAAATCATTGATCGAGTTGCCCAGAACATGGCCAGGGTCGCCAAGGCACTTCGCAGTGTTGGGCAACCCCATATTGAACACTATCGTCCGACTAAAATGCTCGGGGATGAGATTGGCTACATCCACGATGCAACGATCCCTGAATCCGAGTCGGGTCGCAGCTCATAGTGGTCTGAAAATAACCCAACATGGTCTGGGGTATCTATAAGTTAACCAACTCACTCGAAAAGTAGACTTTACTTTTCTATCATTCTGCGGTTTATAAGGGTATTGAGGGTGTATCAGGGTTATTGGGGTGGCCAGGGTAGTTATCAGGGATTTCAAAAAGGGAATTACTCATTGATTTTGTGCGTTTTGAGCTCGTCGTGGTCTGAATTAAACTCCGCGTGGTCGAACGCTAAATACCATACCACCTTCCATCTTAAATATGATGTAGACACGTAGTAAGCTTCTGGGAGTGGTTATACACCCCCGCTGAATTTAATTATAAAATCTATAATAAAAAACTGCTTGCTATGATTTATTATTTATAAAATTTATCAATTATTTAGATCCAACGGCCAGATCAGCTTAATATGGGACAGACACATCCCCTCGTAGGAATCGCAGAGACTAACCTGCCCTTCGCTGTAGACTATCCCCGGGCGGTTGAGTTGGAGATGCCCCTTCCAGTAATAGCCAACCTTCTTGGCAAACTTGGTTAAGTAGATGTTGGTCCGCTCTTCTGGCTAATCTACTGTGGTTTCGGTGGTGTCGCCGCATTGAAAGCGCAGCCGGTAGTGGCCCGGGGCCAGTGGCGGGGCAGCGGGGTGGCCCAGGAACTCGGAGCATTTAACTCGGAATTTACGGAGAGGCGAGCGCTTGAGGTCCTCCAGACCCAGACAGACAAATGGTCACAGTATGAAGCCAAGTCAAACTTTAGGAGGGCGAGGAGGGCGAGGTCTTGGACTCTTCTCCGCTATCTCAGACATAAACATGGACCTGTGCTGTGAATAAAGGAGAAGAACAAGACCATTGAGTACCATCGTAGACAAGGATGTTGTTTATTCTTTTAGTATTTGATAGCTATCTCGGTCAGAGACACGCAATCTGAAACTTAAAGTACGTAGCTCAGTCAAATCTCTGCCATGAGTAGAATTAAAACAATGATGGCATTGAGCATAATCGTAGACCAGGACATTGTTCACGCACTCTTTCAGTACTAACTGCTTATGACGTCAATGCTATGTTGACGTCTGGAAATCTGAGGCACCAAGGTTTCCTTTTTTTCCCTCCCCCTCCCCCTCCCCCTCCCACCACCACCGAGACACCGTTTCTTGCATCCTTCCACCATTCTGCCTGCACTCGTCTGCGATTGCAGACTTCCTTGTTGATCCAACAATGAGACATCCCAAGTTTCAGCATCTGGTACATCGTGGTTCCACCATCTCAACCTTTCTTCAGCTGGAGAAAGGCGGGCCCCGGCGGGATGCCCCCCTTCCGTCCCATTGTCTCTTCATGCTTAGCATGCTTGGTCTCGCAAAGCCAATTCTTCATCATCCTTCGTACCGCACATGCAGAAGGAAATGCTGTCTAGTTCAGGTCCCAGTCCGGGGCCCCGCACCCCAATTGGGCATAGCAGCCTCAGTCCGGCGCTAAACAACCGGTTTGTGTCGGGGCATTGTCGCCGGCTGAAGAAAAATGGGAAAAACCCCGGCGGCACAGGGGCCTCGGTTAGCCCTAGTCCGCGATATCTTCACGATGCTGCCTGCCACCATGCGGGGTACCTGCGACTCGCCTCCAATGACTTCGTCGGGATGAAGCTGTCATTCTGCAGTGTCGCATGATCCGCTCCCAACATTTGCGCATCAGAGGTGGAACAAAATGTTCCGTCCAAGTGGCTTAATCGAGTGTTCCTGCCACCGTGACGCATTGGGATGCTGACGGCCGGGAATCTGCAAGGGACGGGTGTGGTATAAAATCCTTTCCTGTTCCTGGGTTCCTTTCAGGGGCCGCTCAAGCATCTCTCACAGTCTCTCCACATATTGTCCTTCAAGATGCCTTCACGACGAACCCTCCTCGGGCTGGCGGCCACGGGCACCCTGGTCAGCGCCGGACCCTGCGACATCTATGCCTCCGGTGGGGCGCCCTGTATCGCTGCGCACAGCACCACTCGTGCCTTGTACAGTGCCTATTCCGGTCCCCTTTACCAGGTCATCCGTGGCTCGGACAGTGCCACCACCGACATCAAGCCGCTCACCGCTGGTGGGGTTGCCAATGCTGCCGCCCAGGACACCTTCTGCTCTGGCACGACCTGCCTGATCTCGATCATCTACGACCAGTCCGGTAGTGGAAACGACCTCACCCAGGCTCCTCCGGGCGGCTTCGATGGGCCCGAGTCCAACGGCTACGACAACCTGGCCAGCGCGATCGGCGCCCCCGTCACGTTGAACGGACAGAAGGCGTACGGTGTCTTCGTCTCGCCCGGCACCGGCTACCGCAACAACGATGCCAACGGCACTGCCACCGGCGATGAGCCCGAGGGCATGTACGCGGTCCTGGACGGCACGCACTACAACGATGCCTGCTGCTTCGACTACGGCAACGCCGAGGTCAGCAGCACCGACACGGGCAACGGCCACATGGAGGCCATCTACTACGGTACCAGCAAGACCTGGGGCTATGGCTCGGGCAGTGGCCCGTGGGTGATGGCCGATCTCGAGAACAACCTGTTCTCCGGGCAGGCGGAGGGCCTGAACTCGGCGGACCCGTCGATCTCCTACCGGTTCGTGACGGCGGCGGTCAAGGGCGAGCCCAACCAGTGGGCGATCCGCGGTGGCAACGCGGCCTCGGGCTCGCTGACGAGCTACTACAGCGGCGCGCGGCCCACGGTGAGCGGCTACAACCCGATGAGCAAGGAGGGGGCGATCATCCTGGGGATCGGCGGCGACAACAGCAACGGCGCGCAGGGCACCTTCTACGAGGGGGTGATGACCTCGGGCTACCCGTCGGACGCGACAGAGAACTCGGTGCAGGCCAACATCGTGGCGGCAAAGTACGCGACGACCTCGCTGACCAGCGGGTCGGCGCTGACGGCGGGCTCCTCGATCTCGCTGCGCGTCACGACCACGGGGTACACAACCCGCTACCTCGCCCACAACACCACTAACGTCATCACCTCGGTCGTCTCCTCGTCCAGCTCCTCCACCCTGCAGAAGCAGGCCAGCTGGACCGTCGTCGCGGGGCTGGCCAACTCCGGCTGCTTTTCCTTCGAGTCCGTCGACACCCCCGGCAGCTACATCCGCCACTACAACTTCGAGCTGCTGCTCGCCGCCAGCGACGGCACCAAGCAGTTCAAAGAGGACGCCACCTTCTGCCCGGAGTCCGGCCTCAGCGGCTCCGGCACCTCCATCCGCTCCTGGAACTACCCCACCCGTTGGTTCCGCCACTACAGCAACGTGGGCTACATCGCCAGCAACGGCGGCGTGCACACCTTCGACTCCAAGACTTCGTTCAATGCGGATGTGACCTGGTCGATCAGCTCGGGCTTTGCGTCCGCGTAGACTGAGGCCGAGGCATCTGGGATGACTGGACGGGAGGGGGTTGATGTGGATGCTTGATGCGCATGTGGAAGACCTTTCGAGGTGGGCCTTGTAAATATGTTGTTATCTTCATTACGAGTACAAATTCAGGATACCTTGGACTTCACTCACTTTCTTTGGAGTTTTTGACTTAGATCCTCGTAGTATCCGACTGACTGTCCCAGGCCGGTTGGTGTAGTGTTTCGTTCAGTGTATGGACTATATAGTAAACCTTGTCGCGACCATTGATTGCACTCTCAACATACGCACATTGCGTGCATGAATGACAAAAAGGCTCGATAGGACATGTAGCACCCCGCACTGGAACATAGGCGAATGTCCATCAAACGGCCGAACTACACAATCACAATGTCTGTGCATCGAAGATGGCCAGGGGTAATGACGTCATTGTGCATGGCTTCCGTGCCAAGTTTTCATCCCAAAGACAGTTGTCGACAGAGTGCCGGAATAACACACTCCGTACCGCAAACTGATGGTGCTTAGCTTAGTTGATAGACTGACCAGGTCTTTGGATGGATGGTCCAAGATGGGGGAAGTGGGATGTGTGGACGAAGCAGAGAGAGGAATGTGTTGACCGCTTTCGTGGCTGCCTTCTGCCGGCAGGATCATGATCGGCTGACCGCCTGCGTGTCCATCTCCACCATCTCCCTGCGGTGTCAACATCACTCATTGTCGGAATGTATCTGGATTCGCATCTACCATCTAACGGTTCAATTGTCTCAATCTGAGGAGCATGTTCTTTCAGGGACCTTGCAAGTGGCAGAGGCTTTACGCCGTTTGAAAGCATGTAACATCCTGATAAGCATCATCGCGAAATCGCGACAGACAACAGTTGAGGGAACACATGGCACGCCATCACGACCATGATAGCCACCGAATTCCATGACTAACAACAAGCGATCTATGATCTAAGATCCACCAGGTTGCCCGCGAAGGCTGAGTGTCGAATCTGATTTCAGGATCCCGCCTCATCTCGCCAGGATGCTAGCTATGGGGCCGCCCCCAACAGTGCAACACCAGAGGCCGTCCCGATTTGCCCCCTGGCGCAGCGCTGAATCCCAGCGACCTTGCGCCTCGATATGTGTGGTCCGTCGAATGTTGTGCCTGGCAGCGAGGATCCTGTTGCGTGAACGTACGCAGGAACAGCGAGCCAGCTGCCGTGTGCCCTGCCTTTCGCCCCCATGCGACACAGGAACCGAACTCCGCTCAGGGGAACTTCTTCGGAATGAGAGTTCTTCTCTTTCTTCTTTCTTCTTGCCAACTCTGCCAGTTGCGTGTCTTCATGCCTGTGTGGGCTGTCAGTCTTTCGTTCACTCACTACATTGACATTCGTTGAAACCCATTCTCGCGAGTCACTCATTTCCTCGCGGGAGCCAGTCACTCTGGGCCCGCAGTCTGTCGTTACCACAACTACCCACAGATAACCACGATGGCAAGCAAGCTTGTACACACTCTTTCCATCATCGCGAGCGTGGGAATCCTCGCCTCCGCGCAGCTCGCCGTAGACACCACGCCCGTGACGGCCGCCGCCTCCGTCGAGACCGTCTCCATGATCGACGCCACAGGGCTGCCCATCACGACCGTCTCCGACGCCGGCGACAACGCCTGGTACATCCCTCTCACGGGGCCCGCCAGCGCGGCGACCGCCGCGTGGGGCGCAAATGTGCACATGCACAGCGAGGCCGCCGCGCTGCTCCCCATCACCTTCGGCACAGCACCAGCACCCACCAGCACCCCCAGCGTCCACAAAACCCGAATTTCCTCGCAGGAAACCAGCGCCTTACCCACGGCGACCGTCTCCCCGATCGGCACGCCCTCCGGCGACGAGTCCACGACCTCGACCCTCGAAGTCCCTCTGAACCCGGAAGCAAACGCCCTCCTCCTGGGCGCGGACACAAGCCTCACCATCCTCAGCACCGTCATCGCGACAGCCGAGAACCCGACGAACATCAGCACCACGAACCTGACCACCCTCCCCGTGGGGATGAACCTCGGCTTCGGGTCCCACTGGCCCGGGGCCCTGATCTTCGGCGGCAACTACGACGCGAACCGCATCTGGAACGAATCGCACTGGCAGACCACCCCGGAAACCAGCGCGGGGAATGGCAGCTTCACCCAAACCGGCACGCAGCTCCTCGCCAGCGGCGTCCAGCTGAGACTCTACCCCGCGCCCGACCTTACGGGCAACACAAACACAACCACCTACCCCTTCGACACCACCTCCACCCCAACCACCACCACCACACCCCTCCCCGCCACCCTCAACTTCACCGCCGAGACCCTCACCGTCCCCGACGCGAGCTTCTGCGACCGCAACTTCACGGTGGTCTTCAACCCAGATAGCGCGACGTACCCGCTCTTCGAGATCCCCATCTGGGCGGACCTGGTCCCTGCGGGGTCGCGGTGTGTGGTGGGGAGTAGTGGGGGGGAGATCATCCTGGGGCGGCCGTTCTTCCAGGCGGCGTATGTGTATGTCACGGACGTGGGGGATTTGTACTTTAGTTCGATTCGGAGGGATGGTTCGGTTGGGGTGGCGCCGAGGGAATTTGATTTGCATGCTGTGTTGGGGGGTGGGATGGGGGGAGGGGAGGGGGATGTGTATGCTAACGCGACGGCGGAGGAGGCGGGGGCGAAGGGGACTGCGGTTTCGGGGGCGGGGAGGGTTGCTACCATTATGAGTAGTGGTGCTTGGGGGGTGGTGCTTGTTGTTGTTGGGGTGGTGGTGGGCTGGGCTGTTTAGTCGGGGGTGGTGTGGTGGAGTTGATTCTAATTTGTTTTGTTGGATATAAGATGTATAATATAATATACCCATTCTTAAGATTCCATGTTTATTTCCAGCACGAGTACAGCACGAGTATAATGGAAAGAACACTTGATTCCATGCCCACCATCCGCAGGGCAGGTTTCCCAGCCCCAACACCTGTATAGTATGTAGCCATCCGGCAAAGAACCAGAACCAGAACCAGAAACAGAAACAGACCAGCTGCATCCATCCATCCATCCTTCGATTCAACAAGTGCATCCTGATCCTTTGCCCAAACATCAAACCCGCTAATCCTTTCAACCAAAGAAATCCATCCCAGAACGCCATCCATAATCATGATCCCATGCAAAGGGGGTCTCAACCCCACTCCATCGCCGCCCATTCCCATGCCCGGGTTAGGGCCGATCCGCACCCCGTATGCATCGCACAGCACGCATCCCACCCCATCGGCTTGGCATAATCACTGGAGATCATACACGACCAGCGCGCGCTCGATGTCCTGCAGGGTCTCCTTGTCGCCGTAGGCGTCCATCAGGGCGCGGTTCTTGCGGAGGCGCTCTTCTTCTTGCTGTTGGTAGAGGTGTTGGTTCTGGAGGGATTTCTGAGAGGTAGAGGGAGAGGTAGAGGTGGCCGTGTAGTGGTTGTAGGCGCCGAAGCCTTGGGGTCTGTTAGGTCTGGTTTGGATGGAGAATGTTTACATTATAAAGGTGGGGGGAAGAGCGTAAACGTACCGAGAGCGATGGCCGCCATCAGGGGCAGATACCAGCGGCTGGGTTTCTTGAGGGAGGCCGGGTTAATGTGGGGGTGGCTCTTGAAGAAAGGGCGGGGGTGTGGGGGGGAGAGGTTCATCATTTTGTTTGCGTGGGTGATTTATTGGGTGATTGGAAGAGTTGCGATGGTGGTAGTTAAGTAGAGTAGAGGGATGTAGTAGTGGAGTGAATTGTGCTGGAATAATGGATTGTTGGTTGATGGTTGTACCTTGGTGTATTTATAAAGCAGCGGACCGAATGCATCACACCCACGTATTTGTGGCCTGATCGGGGGTAGTCGATCCGTCATACGATGCCAGCCCCGCCCGCCCCCGTCGATCCCGCTTTCTGGGGTATTTTGTCCCTAGGTAAAGACAACGCTATTGGCGGAGTGGGCGCAGAGTGGAGCCGATGATGAAGAATCGGATGCACCCATCATCTCACTCATTCCACCGTCGAAATCCTTTTTCCGGGTGTGCTGATCTTGTTGTGCTCACTGTGCTCACTGCCTTGGGGGCTTGCCGGGAGGGGGGTGGGGGGGGGGGGGGGGGGGGATTCGGGAGGGGATATCGGGTGATCCTACGGAGTCCGGAGTCTGGTCTGTGCGTTCTTCACTCGGTTTGGACTCTGTCTTCTCTTACTACTCTGCGTTATTGTTTAGGAAGGAAATGCTGAATCCATTTTCTGGGAGAAGTACTGTAATGATCCTCCGAGATGGAAGAGCGGGGGGTGCGCGTGAGGGTTGCCAGATAAGGAGTTGGTGCCTTCTTAGGGTCAGGGCTGGACTCACGCCGCTACATCACACTCTCTACATGACACACCTATTGCTTTGTCCGCGCTTACAGCGACAGACTCTGTGCCATTGTTGACTGCTAGCCACCGTCACAGTTTACTCCAAACTAACACTATCGATAAGATACAATCTGCTACCAGGACCATCTCCAGCAAAGGTGACAGTACTAATGCCTCAAGCTTCCACCCATATCCATGGACCAGAAGGTCATTCCAACGGCACCGTATCGACGAAACACGACCTCAACGCCTCCACCCCATATCTGCCCCCGAGCACCTCAACCTCATCCACCACCGCCCTAATCCTGGCGACCTCCTCCCCCTCCAACCGCACGCCCAACGCGCCCACATTCTCCACCAAAGCCTCAGGGCGCGTGGTCCCCGGAATCGGGAAAACATCCTCCCCCTGCGCCAACAACCACGCCAACACCAGCTGCCCCACCGTACACCCCTTTTCGTCCGCAAACCCCTTCAACCGCTCCACCAACGCGAGGTTCCGCCCAAAGTTCTCCTCACTATACCGCGGCATGACCAGCCGGATATCCCCGGCGGGGAAGTCCGCCCGCGACCGCACCCGCCCCGTCAGGATCCCGCGCGAGAGCGGCGAGTACGCCACGACGGCGACGCCCAGCTCGCGCGCCGTGCGCAGCAGGTCCGTCTGCGGGGACTCGATCTCCAGCGCGAAGGGCGAGTACTCGACCTGGACGGCGGCGATGGGGTGCACGCGGTGGGCGCGCCGCAGCGTCGCGGCGCTGACCTCGCTCAGCCCGAGGTGTTTGATTTTGCCGGCGGCGCGCAGCTCGGCCATCGCGCGCACGGTCTCCTCGACGGGCACGGCGGGGTCGAGGCGGTGCGCGTACAGCAGGTCGATGGTCGCGACGCCCAGGCGTTGCAGGCTGCGCTCGCAGGAGGAGAGGCACCGGTCGCGCGAGCTGTCGATGATCATCGCGCCGTCCACGAACTCGGCCCCGAATTTCGTGGCCAGGAAGACGTGCGCGCGCTTGCTCGGGTTGGCGCGCAGCCAGGTGCCTAGCAGGGTTTCGCTGTCGCCGTAGAGGGCCGCTGGTTTGCTTCCCGTGTCAGTAGGGGGGTTACTTTGGGTTGTGAGGACGGGGGGACAGTGGAAGTACCGGAGTCCCAGAAGGTCTCGCCTAGTTCGTACGCTTTGTCGAGGAGGGCGAGGCGCTCGCCGTCCGGCTTGGGGGGCCCGTAGAAGGCACTCAGGCCCATCGTGCCGAAGCCCAGGCGGGGCACGGAGGGGCCGTTTTTGCCCAGGGGCCGGGTTTCGAGGTGCGCTGGCATTTTTCTATTCGTTTGGTGGGGTTGAGCTGGCGTTCTGCCATCTCGTTGGGATGAAGGGTGCTAGATCACTTATACCGTTCTTCAAGCCAGGCCAGTATACTTCGGCCGGATATACCGGATTTTACGGATTTGCCGCTGTCATCATCGACTGGCCGTTGCGGGAAGAGGTCGAGGTGGGTCTAGTACCCCTATCTGGAATCTCTGATTGGAAGGTTGTGAGGTTTATGCACCCGGCATATGGGTTTATCCTCGGTCTACGAGGTGAGGTTGTGGTGTGGTGGTCGGAGTTAATCGGTGTTGCGTGGGTTCAACCTGAGACCGTCGAGTCATGCCTTTCCGGCTTAATGCATTGATTATGCATGAAACAAGGACATAGAGGGATTGTCTTGGGCGAGTAAGAAGCTGATAAGGAGACTTGAGGTGGATAATGCTTGGAGTCTGACTACGTCAGGCTATCTGCGGAACTATCAGTAGCGGTGGGCGGGGAGCAAGCAGTTTATTCACTAAGACAGCAGGGCTGCCGTCAAGACTTACAATAGGCAATGCTTGCTAGATATCTATGCTAGTAGGTAGACTCGGCTGGCTTAGTATACTTAAAGTAAACCTCCAACTCTTAGTGATCAATGCCTGTCCAGCGGTACGCGATAAAGGTAGACACCATCTGTGTAAGACCGCAGCCCTTTGACTATTATCTGCAATTGCATTTACAAAGAAGATAGCCGGTGATCATCATGAACGCTCGACGAAAGCCTCATCAATCCCCGGAACATAGGCCCCTCGCAATAGTTATAAATGTCCGCACAGCCGAGCAAAGCATTAACCGATCCCCATACCAATCCCACCAAACAGCATTAGTCAATTGACTAACACCCAAGGTATCCCAATAACCCAGGTTCAGACCGACTGATTTTGTGTGCCCAGACAGCCAACATGTCCCAGTCCCAGTCCCAGTCCAAGGCCCAGGCCCAGGCCGAGTCCCAAGTCCCCAACCAGCCGCGCCCCTTTCTCCCACGCGTCACAGACATCGGGAGCCTTCCCTACGGGGGCCTGCCAGGCCGCTGCGTGTACGGGCCCGACGATCCGCCGGCGCACTTCGACGCGAGGCTGACCAATCACTTCGTGCGCCCGCACCCGGAGGCCAGCCTCAGCTGGGACGGGCACCATCTGCTGCAGCTGCTGGAGCAGAAGGACGTGGAGACCATGCGGGTGATGGACGGCTACCGGCCGCTCGTGCTGGAGCCGGAGCAGTACCTCGCGCGCTTTTGGTGCCACACCGACGACGCGTATTACTACTTCGTCTGCACCAAGATGCAGGGGCTGGAGTACTGCAGCCGCTTCGTCCGGTGGGTCAACGTTAAGAGCACGCTGCATCCCGCGGTCGAGGCCACGACGGGGCCCGGCCTGCAGCAGCGGAACCAGGCGCTGGACGACCGGATCATCGGCGTGCGTGACCAGCTGCGGCGGAAGGACCAGTATGCCGAATTGGTGGTGCTCGAACAGCAACATGGGGAGCGGGCTTCACAGCAGATGCAGGAGGAGCTGGACCAGCAGCCACAGCGACAGCAGGTACAGCAACAGCAGCCGCAGGAAAAGCAGCCAAAGAAACAGCTGTCACAGAAACAGCAGCAACAGCAGATGCAGGGGTTTCACAGGTTCCGGCTGGTTCGGCAGGAGCAGCCGCAGCAACAGCAGCCACAGCCACAGCCACAGCCACAGCAGATGCAGCAGGGGCAGCTGATGCAGGAGTCTTTCCAGTTCGCGCTGGCTCAGCAGGAGCAGCAGTGGGACCAGCAGCAGTGGGAGCAGGCGCTGGAGCGGTCGTCTCAGCAGCAACAGCAGCAGAAGGAGGAACAGGGGGAGAGGTAAGTCAGTGGATCTGACCTAATCCCATGATGACTGGGTTACGCACCTGCCCTTGGCCTCTTCGACTGAGCCTTCGGTATCGTGCATCAAGTACAGTACCCGCTGTCAACAAAGCGCTAGGTAAGGCCTCCCCGGTTCTCTATCAGGTATAACTAAACCAACCAGCAATTAATTTCACCCTCTTTGCGAGGTTAATTCATACTTATTCAATCTCCATACCATGCACAGTAAATCCCCCAACCTCTCAGTACCCCCAAAAAGACCCACTTACCAACCCAACCAAAATCAAGCGATCCAAACTATCCCATACATCCACAGACTACATTGAGTGCTTGCTCTGTTTACGGAGGTGGTTGTGTGCTCGATTGGTAGCCACAAGACCTGGTCGACGTCCCGGTAAGAGGCTACAACCTGGAGGAGATGGCTGTGTTCCGAGGAGACAAGATCTTCATCGTTGCTGTATGAGAGGCTTGGATAGTGAGGGAAGGGGGCTACGGCTGGTTGCTCCCTGCACCCGAGCCAGCCTTACTACCCGTAGGAGATGTCAGGTTCTGGATGGAGAACTGCAGACGCGTGAGCGGGTCCTCGATACATCTAAGATCCTCCGTAGGGTTTGCCGACCCGACAAGCTCGCAGAACAGTCTCCGTGCGGCATCGAGGTGGCGTCCAGCACCGGACAGGCTTTTCAGGAATCTCTATCCTTATTCACATAGTCAGACAAACACTTCGTGGATGGGGATGGCAGAGTTGGGTATACTACCTCCCCCAACGCAAAGACGATCATAACCGCAACCGAACTAACCCCGACCTGCCGGATCCCAATGCTGCCTTGCGGAAGGCCCAAGGCACTGGTGTAGGCACCCACACCCTGCGCTCTCATATAGACCTTCTGCGCATGGCCCGCCTGGAGTAGCGCGGCCCGGTGCAGGGCCCCGAGACACAGAATCGCATGGCAGACCAAATCGTCTGACCACGCCATCTGTGCGACTGTGTCGCGCCAAAATGCAAGGCCGCTGCCTGCGAAGAACCGGTGGACGGTGCTAGTCACGTATTGGTGGTATATTGCTAGGAAAGCAGTGCGTTGATGTGGGTCTTCAGGCGATCGCACCACATCTGGCACGTACTGGGATAAAACCAACTGGGAAGCTGAAGACGAGGTTACAAGCGGGGCAGAGGAGGGTGCGTCTGTATCCGCTTCTCCCGTGAAAACGACAGGCATGACATGCCGGCTCTGCTGGTAGCCGGCACAGACGAGGTGGGCAGTCTGACATCTGTGACACGTGGGCTTTTCTTCACTACATTTGACTTGCCGCCGCAGACAGGTCAGGCATCCCGTCCGGGTGCGCTTGAGACGGGGAGGTGGCATGGTACCTTGGGGTTAGGAAGCCAAGGAACAGTGGGGTCGACTGCAGACTCTGACTCTGGATGAATGTTTGTTCTGTGCTGCTTATTCAATGGCGGGGTAATGCATGGATAGATTGAATTCACGTGAGAAATTGCTCCTGTCCAGTGGTTTGACGCTAGACTGGGTCTAGACACAGGATTGTTACGGATTTGAAGACCATAACTTCATCGCACTCAAGCTGACAACCGTGAACTAAAAGACAACTTCTAGTGCCCACGAAGCGTTGCCACAAAGACAATTGCCGACTTCGACAAAACGAACACCAGGATCCATCAGCCGGCGTCTCTAAGCGCCCCTGCATTGAAACTCTGGCTGTCGTCTTCAATTATCGATTCCAGAGACTTTTGCGATATAACATTGACGTCGACGCGTCCAGTAGCCAAGAGTAGGCGCGCAATATCCGCACGGCCGTTCTTCACCGCAATCCCAATTGGCCTTCTACCTAACGCATCTTCAGCATCAGGATTCACTTGTGGATGAGCCAGCATCTGCTCGACAACCTCGCGGTGACCTCTCTCTGCGGCAATGTGCAGTGGGGTGCGATGGTCATAGTATGGAATGTTCGGGCGAATATTCTGCATAGCCAGCAAGTGGAAGGCTATCTCTGCGTGTCCATACTTGGCAGCTAGGATCAAGGGGCTTGATAGGTCCAAGCCCGTATGGTTCGGATTCGCCTGTCCTGTGCTCAACAACTCGCAAGCTATCTGGCTGTGGCCATGTAAGCATGCATACAACAAGGGTGTCCAGCCTTCTTTATCTGCGTTGTCGATTCGGACCTTGCCGGTCTTGAGTAGCAACCGGACGATCTCGAGATGGCCCTTGTCCGCCGCATATGATAGTGGTGTTCGGCCGGTCCAAGCACCCCGATCACATTGGATTCGCCCAGATGCCAACAGATCCCGGACGAAAGCAAGCCGACCTTCAGTGCACGCACAGGCCAATGGAGTTAGCCCATCCTCATCATACATGCGATCGAGACTGACACGACAATCTGCAAGGAGCCTAGAGAATATATGCTCTCGTCCAAGTTCGATTGCTAGACGGAGCGGTGTCCCTTGAGGTCCGCTCCCGCAGCCGTCTGGGTGAACTTTGAGAACCCGGAGCAGAAAGTCAACTACTGTTGGCCTGTCCTCATCAATAGACTGGCATAGTAGCAAGTGTTGACTTTTGGAATCACTTGGCAGACGCCCGGTTGCCAGCAAAAGAACTCCCAAGGAGCAAATCCGATTGGCAACCGTGAAGGTGATCAATGATTGGAGTTTCCGCATTTTGATTGTCTTTCCGTGCTGAAGCAGCCATGGTAATTCCGTGCTCCGCATCCTATGAGTTTCCTCGCTGCCTCGAAGGGACTGGCTTGGTGCCAAGATTGCTTTCACTGCGGCCTCGTTCCCTTTTGCCAGAGCAGCCAGAATGGGATAATGGTACCTCTCACCCGCTATCTGCAGATCTGGTGTATCCACCAATACTATGCCTATCAGATTAGGGAGGTCGTGCTCTGCAAGGATATACAAGAGGCTTGCAGACGATGTGTAGCGTCGGATTTGGGCCTGCTCGATCATATTGCTGTGATGAATCCACTCAGTGAGAGGGAAGTGATCGATGAACTGGCTCTGGTCCACACCACCATTTTGTGCAGCATCAGCGTGGTGAAGGACATTGGATACTGCATATTGGAAGAACGGATAGCGGGAAATCACTGCAGATCGTATGTCGCGAGCACTCTCGGATGACGCAATGGGAAGCTCGTCAGGAACACCAAGTGAGCCTCGGATGTCGGTCATCAAATAATTTTGACAACACATTTTGAGGCGATCGTGGCTCAATGCATCGAAGCGGTCATGCTTGCCAGGCCAAAGCTCTCTGATGCCATTCCCTCTCAAGAGAAACTCACGGACGGATTCATGTATAAATTGCACGGTCGCATGTCGTGACTTGGTTGTCTCGGTCAGGCCTTTCGACGTCGCTAAGATGAACCGCTCCATGTCGTCCAGGGTAATGTCATCGGGGTCCCAGGCATCCGAGAGATCGTCCGGCTGGCCGGAAAGAATGGCAAAGTAGAGCTCTTCTCTTCTCAGCGGCCGCTTGCTGAATAAGACCCACTGGATGCATAGCAATAGCTCATCCAGATTAGCATTGTCGCGAGTCAAGATGTCTTTGAACAGTTCGCCTAGCTCATTTGGTATCTCGGAAAGCCTCTTGCGCAGCGCATGCAGACGACCCCTCTCATATTCGCGATTGAGGATCTGAACAACAAGAACAGTCCAGAGAAAGATGCCAGATGCTTTGCTTGATATCTCGGTTCGAATGAGATCAGCTTGTTTACTTCGTCCGATCTTCAATTCGCTGCGCAGGTATCGAGCGATGTCCTCCCCATGGCCTTTTTGGTCATGGAGAATCAATTCGATTCCATTCTCCACCGTGATGAACGGGTACTGACGACTGGAAAAGCAAACATGAAGTTTGATCTGCGATAACGTCGCGTATTGTCCTAAGGATTCGAGGAACTCTACCATGGCTCGCACCTGCTCCACGTCACACTCATCAAGCGCATCGATAAAACAAATCAGATGCTTTCCATCGAGTGAGGTCACGGCACAGCGGAAGATCTCTTGAAGCCTCTCGATTTCCAGGATGGAAGAATTCTGGCTGTCGTGAATAGGTGGCAAAGGAACTCGATCCAATAATACTTGAAGATCAGGCACAGCCTCCATCAGCTGCAAGAGCAAAGAGCGATACATTCCTTCGGTCGTTCTTTCAAGCTGCTCACCACGCGCATTGAAGAAGAATGAAACAATCACAATATTGTCATCCCTGGCCGCCTGGGCGTGCTGGTACGCAAATTTCATGATGGTTGATTTGCCGCTTCCTGCTTTGCCTTTGATCCAGAGAAAGCCATAATGATCGACGACCTTGTTTGTGTCAAGCCAATCCAGATATTCTTGTTTCTCCAAGAGCCATCGGCATGTCTTAGCATGGGCAGCTTTGATTGTTGCCTGTCGACTCTCTATTTGTTCAAACCGCAATGCGTCCATCACACACCTGCGATGGTCGACACCGCCGGTTGTTGTCTTTGTTGGTGATTTTCGAGCTATTCTGGGCCCTGTGGCGTTGATAACCGCCAACAGCTCTTTAGCATAAGCAGCAGCCGTGGCGGCTGCGTATCCCTGCCATTGCTTGTTCTTATGCGAATCGGCATAGTCTGAAATCCCTCGAATCACTAGGCACGGGAAGTCATCCATCAGACCGGCGGCTTCCATCTCAAAGCACAATATATCCAACTTCGCAGCCAGTCGGTCACGGGTGCCTGCATGCTTGATCACCTGGTTTCCGGAAGCGATCAGGCCGTAATGAACAGCTGGCTGGGTGTCCTTGCGTGCTGAGCGCAAGATCAATTCGTTCGCATCACAATTTACGCATGTGCGCTGGGATGGGTCATGTTCATAGTTCGCACGGAACAGTCTGTCCGGTTCAGCTTCAGGACGCGTGAATGGCTGTACCATCGATGGGCGGTTGGCCAGCATCTGAGCGACGAGCGCTGCAATCTGAGTCCCGCTGCAATAGTGGTCGGCTCGGAGCTTTGTGACTGCGGCCAGGAGGGATGTGGAGGGTTTACTCAGGGTTCCTGTTCTCTCAAAGTGTCCTTCCTGAATGGTCTTCCCGTAGTCGTACTGTATCACGCCCTCACATCCCGGGGTCGGAACGCTGACGACGACATCACCAAGCCTCACATCGTTGGATTCTGATGGTACCCCTCCGCCGATCCCCACCATGAGGAGATGCTGTATGGAGCCAAAGGTAAAGAACATGGAGCTCGCAACTGTCGCGGCTGAGGTAGTGCCATAGGTGCCAGCGGGGAGACAGGCGATCACCACACTGTGCCCACTGATCGCTCCCAGGGTGTATGCATTTTTGTCATTGGGGTGGGTTTCGAGGGTCGGATGAATCTCGTCAAGCATTGCTTTGGCAGCAGCAGCTTCAAGGGCAAGGGCGCAGACCCAACCAATCGTGTAATCATCATGACTGTGTGAATGACCATCCCCCGTGTTGAGTTTCCGTCTCTTGGTGGGATTGTGAGCGAATGCGGAGGCCTCGCTCATGTCGACAGAAGGACATAGAGAGATTCTGAAATCAGCAGGAAGACACACATACAACCAGTCACGGCCTGAAGCTTCAGATGCGGTTGAGAAGGGCAGCTAGAGGCGATCACAACACCAGGCTGTCAGCCTCGCCGAGCCCCCCGCTCGAGCTAGTCCCGCGAGGCTGTTATTCAGATCTCGCTGCCTAGGCATCATAGGCATCATGGGCACATTCCGACTTGATAATCAAAGTAGTCAATTCAGTCAACAATCAAGAAGCTGTGAATGTCTCAGGGGTTGGAAGACTGGATTCAAGTTGGGGTAACAGCTCAAGCAGTTGTTTGTGATCCGAACAGTGAGTGGAAAGAGTTGAGAAGGAAAGCGCCCGTGAGGGGAAACTTGGCCGCCTGAGGCAACCAGCACCTTGCAGCCTCAGCCCCTTGTGGCCTGAGGCAGAATTGGTCTTGCCTGGGCGGAGTCGGGTCTTTCCCCCGCCTTACCCCTTTGGGATCTTCTCATTGTTCTTTCAACCTCACGACATCTTTTGATTCATCGACGATAGGATCCTTCCTCTCTTCCGATATCCAAGGAATCTGACTTATCCTCTGTGCTATACTTAGTCAGAGCCACTTTCTTCCCTTCAAGCTACCTTCATTCTTTCCGCTGTCATAATCTATAGTGCCCAGAGCCCAGCAACACCTAAGGGTAAATCTACATTCTTGGTATGAAGTAAAAATCACCAAACCGCATCCCGGATTCTGTTAATTCATTTCTCACAAGGAAGCCGGATTTGATAGATCTTTACCCTTCTAATTGTCACATGAACGATTTACGATAGGCCAAGACTCAGAACGGGCTTTTGCGAGGACTGAGAGAATGGGTACAGAGGCTGTCACCATACCTCGATCAATGAGCTTGATCACGGCAACCGTTGTCGCTTTGCCCGAGACCAATGCGAAAGGTCTACACACCAATCGTACGCTGTCGTGTGCGTCGGACTTCTTCAAAATCGGGGCAATGCAAACAACCGTTCCATGATTCGCAGCGCAATGCAGAGCATCGCCCCCTTTCGATCCACTACGATGCAGACGGACAGCCACGGACAAATCAAAGACTACATTTGCCGACATTCCAGGGGCAAATGCACGATGGTCGGGTTTCAATCAACGGGATTACCGGCACGACAAATCCTGGCAACTGCGAGGCGGGCAAATCCCAGCATGCGAACTCAGGATTCGGGAAATTTGTAGTCAATTGGTTATCGCAATACTGCCAATGTGCAAGAGATTGTGCAGCAGGTCAGGAAGGAACATGATGTCTGCAGCGAGGAGTCTTTTCTGCAATGGTCGGCTGGCTCGAATGCCTTTTCCCGCGCAGAACAAGTTGTCGTTGGGTGAAAGTCGGAAAGGAACATAATTCGGGAGATTATACCATCGGCCAGCGAATGGGCGAGAGCCCTCCTAAGATGGATGTTTCTTGCAAGCTTGCAAGATGATTACGTGGGGCGAACCACGTCCGCACTTATAACCAGTCACTGAAAGTCGACGAAACCTGGAGTTCAGCTCAAATTGACTATAGGACCCCGTCGAAGACTGCAAAGCGCGTTACCGAAACACGAACTAGTGCTCGACAAGGGGCTTGGAGATAACACAGATAACCCTCCTTATTTATTTCAAATGTCCTCTCGTCCAAACCTGCACCAAGTGGAAATCCAGGCATGCAATGAGTTCGGACACATTCCGAGCGGCGGAATGAACTCGACCGGGCCGGCCAAGGCCTAGAACCCCCGATGTAACCCAATCTGCCCTGCACGCTGTCAGGAGCACTCTATGGCACCTCAGTTTGCAAAGACAGCGAGGATTTCATTGAATCAACATTGCTGGCACTCGTTGAATCTCTATCGGCGAAGAGATTGGAGCCATGAGGTCATTGCCTCGTCGACTGAGCGGGGCCCAGATAGGGGGCAGGACAACAAGACTCCGACAGCGATAGCCGTGATACGGGGATGGTTAGTCTGATGAGACGTTGCCAATGCAGTCACTGACCAACTGCAGCCTGGAGTGAGCGCTGATCCTTACCCAATGGGTGGCTTTAGCCAAGTTAGTGCCAGTGATTCCCCAGACCGGTGCAATTCCCCCGCATTTACGGCTATTGAACTGGGGCCAAGATCGACTCGGCCTGCCGATTACGGCAATAGCGCCCGTTCCCCAATGACTTCACGGTCTGGGGCATAAATACCCACTGCAGAACTCTATGGGCGAGGAGAATCAAGGTCTTCTCTCTAGATCCATAGCCTTCGTCTTTCAATTCCTCAAAATTTCTCTCCTCCGTTCTCCTGGCCGAGTTGCCATCATGTCTCGAGACAGTGACTCCTACAGCACCAAAGCGGATTCTACCGCGAAAGACAGTCTCGATGCAAAGCTCGACACCAAGCACATCGAGGTTGCAGAATCCACTCCAGGGACAGATCCCAATGGGCTTGCAACCAGTGTCGCCGACATCCCAATCACCTGGTTTGTGTGGCTCGTGGCATTCACGGCTTCAATTGCTGGTATGCTCTTCGGCTACGACACTGGTATCATCTCCGGGGTACTTGTCGTTCTTCACGATGACCTGAACGGTCGGCCTACTACCAGCTCTGAGCAAGAGATGATCACATCACTCTGCTCAGGCGGAGCGTTCATTGGCGCCATCTTTGCAGGAAATACTGCTGACCGCGTAGGTCTTCCCGTGCTCTAAATACAGGAGTTTGTAAGCGCTAAAAGTCAATAGTGGGGCCGCAAAATGGCCATCTATCTCGGCTGCGTTCTATTTGTCGTAGGCTCAGTCCTACAAGCCGCTGCGTACACGATTGCACAGATGGCGGTTGGCCGGGTAGTTGTTGGCCTGGGCGTGGGGTCCGCCGCGATGGTCGTCCCACTCTACATCGCAGAAATCGCTCCGGCGCGCGCCCGCGGTCGCCTTATCGGACTCAACAACATGTCCATCACCGGTGGGCAAGTGATCTCGTACGCCGTCGGTGCGGCCTTTAACAATGTCAACCATGGTTGGCGATACATGGTGGGCCTGGGTGCCGTGCCCGCCATCATCCTCGCTGTGCTCATGCCGTTCTGCCCCGAATCGCCCCGTCACCTGGTCTACCACGAACGATTTGAGGAGTCGCGCGCGGTCCTCCGCCGCGTCTACGGCACCTCCGCTACGGAAGCCCAGATTGATGCCCAAATAGACTCCATCCGCATTGCCTGCGACGAAGCGCGGGAGCTCGCTGAGACCGGCAGCGGGTGGTCCAAGATCGTGCAGCTGCACACGGTCCCGCGCAACCTGCGCGCGCTGATCAGCGCCTGCGGACTGATGGTGATCTCGCAGATGTCCGGCTTCAACGCACTCATGTACTACTCGTCCACCCTCTTTGCACTGGTCGGCTTTGACAATTCCACTGCGGTTGGACTCGTCGTCGCCGGCACCAACTTCATCATGACGGGAGTGAACATGTTTGTTGTCGACACGATGGGCCGCCGGCGACTGCTTCTCTCCACGGTCTGGGGCATGTCAGTGGGTCTGGTGGCTGTAGCCGTCGCCTTCCACTTCATTCCCCTAGACATGGAGACCATGCAGCCCATCGGCAGCGGAGTAGGCCCCGCAGCGATCGTCGTGCTCGTCTTCATCATCTGGTTTGTCATCTTCTACGGCGTCTCCGTGGGTAACACTGCGTGGATGAGCACCGACTTCTTCGCCCTCGAGGTCCGTGCCATGGGCACGATGTGGATGACCTGCTCCAACTGGGGTAGCAACGTGATCGTGTCCAGCACGTTCCTCTCCATGGCCAAGGCGATGACCCCCTCCGGCGCCTTCGGTTTCTACGCGGCTATCTGCGGAATCGCCTACGTCTGGATCTACTTCTTCTACCCCGAGGTATCTGGGCTGCTGTTGGAGGAGGTCCAGGAGGTCTTCGAGCATGGCTTCGGCGTCAAGTATGCGAGGCAACTGCGGAAGGAGCGGCAGGATATCATTGAGGAGAGGTTGAAGAGTGCGGACAGACCGGTTCCAATGGGACATTGAGCCAGCCTATAATGTACCGTACATGGGTTTCAGACCCTCTGATGATGAAAGTCACTCTGGAAGTGAATAATGGTTGTATGTAATTTTTATGAGCAATGGAATTTATATTTTCAGTATTTCAAGTCTGCTTCGGAGAGCGCTTTCCTGTCGAACATAATGAAACCAACCTAGGTCGTCCTTCGAATAGCCATGCCTCCTGGCCCGTAGTCATATCCGCCACCGTCGGGGTTTATACCCTGAACACGGAACCCAGGTCCCGAGGCCTCGAAGTCATTTGCCGCCTCGGACTAACGGGGCGACAGGGGGACGCCGTGTGGGCAGATGAGAGTGAAAATCGTTATCATGCCACCTTGGATTTTGTTCATCTCAATGCCAAAGTCATACCCCGACAACACAAGGACGTCGGAATCCGAAAGCCGACAGAAACACGCTTGTCATCTTGGTTCGAGTATATGGTGTCGTGACGTTGTCAACAGTATCGCCCCAGAACTATGATTATCGTGAGACACAAATGTCTTCAAGCTTTCGGGGCTTGAGACTCGACAACCGTACTTTGAACGGGCGTTCCTCTGTTGTACATGGCCATTTTGGAGCGCGGGTGGACGACGGTGCGAAGATATACAGACCACCACTGCGCGCATTGGATCAATATCCCGCAAAGTACTGCATTGTAAGGCTTCTTCATAGGTTGAACAATTCAATCATCGGACAGTGAATCACGCCGTGATACAACGGGTGGTATGTGCTTCTGACGTGCGCACGGCAAGCGACTCGTCATATTTTGCAGTACCCAAATTTCCCTGACCACTTGGTGCTTGAGGGCTTGCGCGTCCGAAATCTTGCTTCGGCTTAATACAGTCCTAGTATGTAAGGCTATATGTAGTAGTCCTCAACACAGAACAAGAATGATGATACCTTCAGCCGGAGATAAGGCCGTAGGCTACTCATAGCTATAACATGATAGAAGAATTTGTCTTACATATGAACCTACTGCTACCTGGATACCGGAAGAACAGGGTCCCCAGCGATGCCAATGCTTGGAGAGGCGGGTGGTTAACGAGAAGAGGCGTGCACAGAACAGTCAACTTCATATTCAACTCATGAGCGACGATCCAACTGACTTGCCACGCTTTTGTTGTTCAACCCTCGAACACCCTTCAGAATACAGCCATTGGAAAAGCAGAAACAACCAGCAAGGCGATGGGAAAAAGACAAATCCCAGAAAAAGAAGTACATATTTTGTTTTTTAGCATGACCCCATAATGGGCGTTCCGGCGGAGCAAAACAAAAGTATGCTCACACTGCATCTCCAGGACGAATCGGGGAACTGAACTCGCCCTCCTGGCGAGCGAAAACCCCATGCCCCTCCTCGGAACGGTCATGAGCGCCCGACGCCGCCGCCGCAGCGGAGACCTCGTCCACATCCCCGCCCCCAAGAACCTCACGGGGCCTGAAGATACGAGACACGGTCTTCGCACACAGCTTATCGGGAGGCATGCACTTGGCCGAGCCGGAGCAGCACGTGGTCAAACACACACTGCCTTCGATGGGACAGTCCTTGATACTCTGGCAGTCCTTCAGATTGACGCACCAATCGCCCTTGTTGCAGTACCCCTTGCCCCCGCCGCGCTCATCGGGCTGGCAGATACACGTCTTGTCAGGGCAAGGGGGGTCAAGACTACAGCGGTCCTTCGCCTGGCAGTTTGCCTGCGGACGGCAAATCCCCTTATCGCAGGTAGAACCTGAGTTGCACTATTTCGAGGTGGGAAAAAAGGTCAGGATGTGGAACACCCCCCCCCCCCCCCCCAAAGGTGAAGAAGGACCTACCTTCTTGCCACACTTGCCACAGTTGTAGTTGTCGGTGTTCAGGTCCACGCACTTCTTCGAGCAGAGCTTCTTGGTTGGGATGCTCTTGCGGGGGCCGCACTCGAAACAGGGCCCGTTGCCGAAGATTGAGGGCGTGTAGCACGTCGCCAGGCTGAGGAGGCCGAAATTGGCGGAGCACCATTCCAGGCAGCCCTGGTTGTTCAGGATGGCGGCGGCCCCTGCGGAGTAGCAGTGAGAGAATATCCCAGCAGCGAGATGAGTTGTACTTACCGCTGGCAAGAGTGAGGATGTTGAAGATCTTCATGATGAGATAGTGGTTTGGTCTGTTGGAGCTTGGACTTCCTCCTTGGGGCAGAGGAGGGTTCTCAATGGGAGAGGAAAGAATCAGATATTTATATTGTTTTTGTGATATCTGACGGACCAGGTCGGTTTGTGAAAGAGTGAATCTGCGAGTCAAGGCCATTGGGGCATAGATCCCGACTGTGCCCCAGACCAACGCAATACCTTCAAGTATCGGGACCCAATCACCATCCTAGATTTCTCAGACTCAACCGCTTGTTCAAAGAACGCTCGTGATGTTAGCAACGAACTCGAGGTCAGGGTATATGGCGGTCACATTCTAGATCGGATCAGTTCCATGTCAAAGAATGACACGTAACATGGAGGTGTCTGCGATTGGATGACTGCAGATGCACAGTATAGGTTGTGTTTGACTGAAGATATACAACGCCCACCACTACTACATGTTTACTACTCGTATTGATTGTGGCAACGGCGATTTTTGGATGTATCCATGCATCGGCTCGCTCGTACAGTATATCTCATCCCGTACCATGGGCGAATTGAATCGGGAAGCTCTTAGCGGCTGCGTATATCCAGAACCACACGCGATACGAAAACGGTAATACCTCTCTGGCCGAGATCCCAGCTACCTTGGCGGGCTGGATCTTGGAAAATGTTAAACTGGTGCTTTGACGGAACGGACCCGAGGATCAAGTCGAGGAGATTTGATCATGCGAGAGAAGTGGACTCCCACTGTCCTGAGAGATGCAAACAATGTACTGTACCTAACCAGAGCAAATGCCACCACCCCGTTGAGAGTATATGATAAACCGCTCCACTATCGGCGCGCGTCTAAGGCGGGGTGTGAGAGTCTTGTCTAGTCTTTGTCAAGTCCGCTGGGACAGTCGTCCTTCGTATCTTTAGAAAAATAAAAACCAAGCATCGACCATGTCGTGTGTGCCACGATCATAAGACCATGTTAGGTTTGAGATTAAGTCAACCCTTCGAAGTATAGATGGCACCTTATGCTCTTGGTTCGTGTTTACCATGTTTTCCGTGGTAGTAGAATAGGTCCGAGGACAATGTCACATATTGTTTGTCACGATTGATCCATTGTACTGTACCGGTGCCGAGCGTGAAGCTACTATTTGTGATTTCGTTGAGTTCAAGAAACCAGGAACAAAAGCCTCACTGGAGATACGGGCTATCAGGATAGCACGAAAATATTCAACAAGTACAGTACATCGTTTGGCAAAACCTGGCCTGGATTTGACACGGACAAATAAACTTGAGAAGACCTGTATAATGGGATAGCTCACCATCAAGACAAAGAAATCCCACGGTTTCAAGGCTCGAGCAACTGGAGAAATGATATCCATTGGCACGTACACGAACACAACCAGCATCTAACATGAATAACAAAGCAGCGTGAGGAAGAAAGATCATGCAACCGGCCCACTATAGCCTTGGGATCCAGAAATCTGTCAGCTCTTCGGTTTTTCGTCGAAAGAAGTAAGGAAATGAAGCTTTAAAGCGTGTATTTGATGAACAATGATAAAAGGAGACACTTGAGCAGGAAGAGCGTAACAAAATGTTAAGGAACAGGTTGAGTAGTCTGGAGCCAGACAACTAGTGATCAAGCACTCCATCAAATCTCTTGGACCCGGCGCTGGGGTGTTTTTCGTGGAAATTCAAGGAGGGATATCCTCCTCGACAGAGCGAAGCTTGCCTGGTTTATACCACGATGAAATCCCCGGGCGTCTGTCCAGGTGCACTGATAGACCCTTGGCTCCTGCCAAGTGGAACTCGGTGATACACTTGATGCATCAGCGTCCGAAAATCGCTGTCATAGCGAAAGATGACGCGGTATGTCGGTAAAAGCCGTAGAGACTCCGAGCATAACATAGCTATTACCATGCATACTCTTGGGCTCTTTCCCCCGGCGTACATCGCAATCTTAGAGCCGGCGCGGCATGGGGGCATGAATGCGGAAAGCACGAACCTTCAACATGGCACGTAAGCAACTATTCAAGTAGGGATATGTCAACGGAATGATAATGCAAGTTCAACAGAGAGCAAAGACTTACTGGCATACGACGTGTTCTAACATCGTTTCGACCCGCAACCGCGAATGCATCACCGCCAAAATTATCAACAGCTCAGACCGGAGCAGATCCTGTTCGTTTTCGCGAGCAATGGCATTGCTCATGATGAGCTTTACGTGGGGGTGCCTTGAATTGACGAAGATGTCGTAGGCTTGGTATAGCGTGCGTCCCGACCGAACCTCCGCGTGCGTCTGGAAACCCATCAATGTAAAAGTTGCTACCGGTATGCATCAGTTTCCTCGAGCGGGTCCTGAGGCCTGAGGTGCCATTTACGAGGCACTTACCTATGCGAACGCCATTTCGTTACCGTACGCAACGTGCTATCCCCGTACTCCGGGTCGAGGTTCTTCCTCCTGATACTCATCTCATCACCGAATCGACAAGCCAGGATTGCCGTGCGTTCCTCTGGGCTCTATGGTTTGCCATCGCCGTATGGCGAGTCTTGTGGGGAAGGTATTTATCGTTTCCGTTGAGGTTTGTCGTTGATTTCCTGGGGTGCCATTCCTGGACGCTTGATCTGGAAATCTAAGGAGTGGAACAAAGCAGGAAACAGGATAGTTGAACCTAGATAGCTTGGGATATATTATCTCCAAGCTTTTCGGGAGGCTATGTTGTATTGTACTGGTTGTTCAAAGGTTGAGAGAAGATCGAAGTTGACTAGGTTGTCGGCTTGACTACTCGATTTCTGGTGGCTACAATGTGATTCACAAACGTTACATTCAATAAGGGCTCGATTAACTTGCAATACAATCTATTGTCCCATCCCCTGAATGTGAATCCACCTAGCTGTAGGGATTCACCAGCCATCGCCCAAATTCAACGGTCCGTGCCATTAACCTGCGGCCTACGGATGTCGCTTACACTGAAAGACCTGATACAATCCCATCTCATTCACCCAAGGTCGATCGATCGCTGTCATGATACCTCAGTAGCGGTGTCGACGTTGATCTCGACGCGAAGAGGTCCCCTGGTGTTTCGGTTGTATGACTCCCGGGCCATTGCACGCTTGTGCTTGAGTATACGAGAAGAGTGAGTGAACATGATGTCTTGTCTGGGAAGAGTATACTCGCTGCTTGAGCCGCAGAAACCCGTGAGCTGCACCAAGATAATATCATATTTCCAGCAGCCTAAGATCTAACAGACCAGGCACAGAGCTTGCAAAGCCCTCTTACTATCCTCTCTGCATGGCCCGTTACAATCAACCTCATCAGCCATCACATGAGTCTTATGATGCCAAATCCCACCCCAACGCCTCCACAAACTCCCCCACCGGCCTCCCCAGATTCCCTTCCTCAGACACCCAAAGCACAATCCGCTTCATCTCCTCCAACACCCTCACCCCCCAAACCGCCGGCCCATTCCCCATCGCCCCCTCCGTCATCAACACCAACTGACTCCCATCCGGGCCCCCCTGCCCCGCATTCAACACCAGGCCCACCTTGGGTCGAACATGAAACACCAGCGGCTTAAGATTCGTATACGGATTCGCCCCCAGCATGTCCGGCCCCAGCCCCGGCATCCAGTTAAACACACATGCATTGGTAACCTTGGCCAAGATCTCATCTGCCGAAAGATCCAGTCCCTCGAACACGCGATGCCAAGGGACGTTTGCATGTTTCGTCTGCTCGAGCTGCTCGCGGTAGACGCGCGTGAGGAAGTCGAGAACAGTTTCATCCGGGCGGAAGACCACGAGATTGAAGGACCAATTGAAGGTCGGGCCGGCGACGTCGGCCGCGTCGGAGGGCAGGGCGGGAGCGCCGGGGTCCGGGAAAGCGTACTCGGAGCGGGCGGCTTCCATGCCGACGAAGAGGGCGTGGGTGTGGTTTGTGCGAGAGAGGATTAGGAGGATCAAGGCGGCTTTGACGAGGATCGGTGCGGTGAGACGAGGCTGCTGCTGGCGGAGACGGGCGATTGAGGTGGCGGCGAAGACGATGGTTTCTCCGGCTTTGTGGAGTCGGTGCGGCGGGAGGTTGATCTCTGGGGTGTGGATGGGCCAGAGGGCGTGGTAATGCTTCTTCAGGCCTTGGAGATAGTCGACGTAGAAGTTGACCGCCTCGGTGGCTTTCGGGGACATGCGCTGTTTGTATTGAGTGTCCGCCCAGGTCTTGAAGGAGAGGTGCGCGTCGATGGAAATCTCGCCGCCGCCGAGGGCGCTGTCCAAATCGCGGTTGAACAGGCCGTGGTTTGTTTTGTCGACTACGGTGTGGGCGATATTTGTAATGATGGCGGCGGATTGTGTCTCCCGGACGGAAACGATCAGGGCACCGAAATTGGGACCTGGAAGGACAGCAGGCATTCGGAACGGTTGTTCGGTGGTTATCCTGGTGAGTTCTTCGATGCTGTCGACGACTAGGTCACTGTGGATGCACCGATCAAAAATTTCAGGGGTTTGACGAAGCACCACATATAGCCCGAGCTGAGCATCAAGGTGTTTGTCATCGACCACGAGGTAGGATAGCAAGATGGGATGCTCTGCTAGTGCGGTAACGAGAGCATGTCGAGCGCTCTACCAAGGTCGCACGTTAGACAAGATAAAGACTGAAGAAAGTGTCGTACTAACCTCAGCTGTAGCTCCGTTGCACAACATACATGTCCGAATACTGGCACTGTCGATCAAGCGAGACTTGCATGCGACCTGTACAGCATCTCTGCATGGGATGACTTCTGTCACATCCTCCCAAGACAGTCCGTCTTTACCCAGGACATTCTCCACGGCTAGTCTGGTCCGCTCGAAAGCTCTTTGCATAAGTGTAGCGTAGACCGCGGAATCGATATCTGGAACTTGCCGGTCTTTATCGAGATCCTTACTATCGCCATTGGTGTGGGAAGCGACATCACTGCTGGCGAGAAGAGATGCCTGCTCCTTAATGCTAGTCGCTTGAAGCCACTCAGGCAGAGCCACACACCGTCCGGTAGCCTTTTCGATTTGGTGCCGCGTGGTGAGCTGCAAGATACTATCCGCGAAGTTCGACAAAGGAGCGTCCACATAGATCTCGGATGTCTTGCTGCCGAGAGTGCGCGCCCACACCCCTGTCACTGCCTCGGTGACATCAACCGGTTGGTCGATCATGCCAACGCCATGCTGGGCTTGGCGCTCTTCGAATAAGCGATAGAGAGCGCACAAATTAGATTTTCGTATCTTCCCTGCAGCCGTTCGTGGAAAGTCGTCAATGCCCAGATCCTGAAGCGAAACCACAGCTGTGGGGACATGGATCACCCCAAGTGTAGAGCGCACTGTGCTCTGGATCAAGCTGACTTGCTTGGCACTAGGAGCCACGGCAACGACAGCCACCGGAACTTCCCCAGCAATCGGTTCTCCACCGACCACGATCTGTGTGTTCAACGAACGCAGCTCCGAAACCTCAGCCAAGACGCCTTCAATCCTAGCCGGAGATAGATTCTCTCCGCCACGAATGATCAAATCTTTGTACCTCCCGATCAGATAAATTAGACCATCCGTCCCGACAAATGCCTGATCACCCGTGTTGAACCAGCGCAGATCGTCTGGCTCATCATGAAAATCGTCGTCGGATGCCCCGAGATAGTGCTGAATCAAAGAACTCCCAGCGTAGTGTAATTGACCTGGCAGTCCCACTGCAAGAGGAGATCGCTGACCAGGGTCACAAATACGAATCCGCGCCCCCATGCCAGGTCTCCCGACTGCCACATCTTGACCATGCGAGATGCGACTTACATCCCCCACGGGACCGGTGGTAGCCACAACCCCTTCGCTCATCCCGTACAGGTTCTCGACTGTTATGTTCCCGAAAAGCTCCAAGCAGCGGCGGAGAGCATCGGGGCTGAGGACCATTCCTGCGAATAGGACCGCACGTAGCCTGGAAGAATTGAAAGTAGAATGGACCTGCTCGAGGCCGTGCAGCATGGTGGGAACTAAACACAAGTGTGTGCATTCTTGATGCTGGATTGTGTCAATAGTCAATAAGGGATCGAAAGTGTTTCCAGCAAAAACGACGCATGCCCCTTGAACCAGAGGAAGGATAGTGCAAAGAAGCCCAAAGGCATGATAGCTTGGGGCAGTCGAGAGCAGCTTGTCGCCAGGTTTGAGGTTCCCAATGCCGAGCGAATTAACCAAGACGTGAATGTATGCCGTCATCCTCAAGGGACAGCCTTTAGGGCGGGATGCTGTTCCGCTGGTGAAGAGCACAGATCTCGCTTCTCCTTTCCCTGCCTTCTTTACCTTGCTTCGAAGAGTAGACATCTGATTGAAGGAGAGCCATGGTACTTGATCATCGAGAAATGACACTTTGACTGTTGGGGCCGGCCATCTGAGCCGGTCGAGGTTCGGGCGGACGGAACGATCCTGAGCCACAATACCGATAGAGGCAGGATCAAAATAGTTGACAACCGTGTCGATAATATACTGCACATCATCTCTGCTGGATAGTTCGTGTGGATTGATAGGAACATGAATCCAACCCGCTGCATACGCTGCCAATGTGGCAATGATGTTTTCTGCGCGATTGTGGCAGAGGACGAAGAGGATTGAGCCCGACCCCATGCCGTGGCTTTCAAACCAGGGCACAAAGCTTGACACAGCCCGCAGCAGTTCCGTATACGTCCATTGGCGAAGACTCGATCCTTGCGGCGGAGGTTCGTGGTCTTTTACTTTGCTGATCTCAATGAGAGCTGGTCGATCATGGTGCCGACGAGCTATTGATTCGAATTGCTCGTATACCGTCTGTGGGCAATCTAGTAATGGGTCACCTGTGATGTCGCTTAAACCCTCCATGATACCCGGACCAGACCGAAAGGAACGCTTGCAACTCCGCAAAACAGTCGGGCTTGACGGGGAGGTTTTCGCGTCTGTGAAACCGGCTTATCCAGCGATCAACCTGTCCATTGCCGACCGAAGGGAAGAGACACAGGATGAAAGAAACGTGATAAGGTCGGCATGGTTCCGACATGTGACGCAGACTGGGTGAGTCAATAACATCATCGACTAGATCAAACATCAAGTAAAAAAAGCAAGAAAGTGCTGAGTTCAGACAGGTAAAGCAGACAGAAAGGTAAAAGTTCAACTAAAAGAATCAGGCAAGCAAGTGCAAGCAAGTGACCAGCTTCATGTTTGCAGCCTTTATACTTCGTGGCTAGCGAATCTACATGTCTGGTGCCTGTCGTCGGTTGGCCTGCGTTCTTGGCGGGTACGGTTAACCCTAGAGCCATCTAGGCGGCCAGCCACAACTCTTCGCCTTGGCCGTCTAATGCTCAATGATGCGTTGTGTCGGTATGTTAAGACTCGGGGGGATAGTGCTTACCTTTGATTCATAGCCCCAAGCAAGCTTGGTAAAGCTCACCAACCCCAGAGCGGCAGAGAGGAGACCGTGTGAACGATACCCGAAGAGAGCGTGGCATATATTCGGCCAAAAGAAACATAGAAAACGCCGACCACGACCCCTGTGACCAGTGCCGCTTGAGCGCCATGATCTTTAAGCTCCTTTCATTCATGCAGACGGTCAGTCAGGTTCTGACGTGGAGAGTATTCTCGATTGCTGCCAATGGTTTTCCGTTAACGTCCTGAGGCTTCGGCATAATGAGGAATACAGATAAGTATTCTAGGCCGCTCGCGAAGAGAAGTTGATTGACACTCACGAAGCACACGAGCCTGCCGCATGTCGCGATTTGTCAGGGACGGATATTCTGCTCAGCATCCTCGTGACGACAGGCTGCAAAAATGACGCAGAGAATAATGGCCAGAACACAAGTTCCGGTAATGCACACCTGGATGGTCATAATTAAGAGGACGGACGACATAAACTATGAAGGGCTGCAAGTCAACTAGCATCCGTGCACAAACCAGGATAGCCGGCACAGACCAATGCATGACACTTCATGTGGAAGCCATTTGTGTCACACCATCCATGCCCCGCCTAGTCCTGACATCGTTGAGGAATCTATGATCCCCTCAGCCGCGGATCCTTCGCGCTTGTCAATGAGGAGGCAAGTAGATAGAGTTTCCGCCGCATGCTGCATCTAGATGGTGGAGAGGTTGCTAACATTCGATCTGACAGGATTCTGGAGGATATTGGTTTGTAAAGCTAGACGTATTATTCAGTCGTGAAGACACCACTCGGTGAGGTGGGCCTAGCTTCGACGACTGTCGTCTGCACTAACCAGGGTTCCCCTCTTTTGCACCTCCACACTTCATCAACTTCCCCGCTCGGCAAGGAAACAATTGCTGCAGAGCTCTCGTCAACGAGGATCAAGGCATCAAATAGAATGCGTCATATGAGGCCCTTTGTGATAGCACATCCCTGTTGCGAAACGGCTTTCGGCACAAAGGTGCCTACCTACATCTTGTTGGTTGGCAGTTGACGGTCGCTTGCGATGGAAATGCAGCGTGGGGGCAAGATACTCGGCCAGGGAGATAAACGGCTAATTCAGGAGTTTCGCAGCATAAGCGAGCGTTATGCAGGCATTGATAGGCATCTGTGTTCCGGTTGCGATTGTAGTGGCGGGGAGAGTGAACGTACGAGCGCCTTCAAGTTATAAATATCAGTCCGAGTGCAGTGTATCTGTGCAACATGTTGTAGTCTCTGATATTTGATCTGGAAGCTAGTGCCGCCTGAACGCGTGGACGCATTTGATATAAACTGCTTTTGTGACGACCGAGAACTTGGCTAGCAATGGCTGCTTACGGCCTGCTACATGTTGTTTATGAGCATCATCATCTTCTCCTTGCGATCGGAGTGGTGAGTAACGATCGTTGACGATGCATTTTGCGATGGATTACTGATGCTGTATGGTCCGATCTAGATCCTCCTGGCGGGGGTGATCAACGGCTGCTACGAACTCCTGTTCAGCCCTCTGAGAAGGTTTCCGGGCCCTAGATTGGCTGCGGTCACCTACTTGCTTTCCGCATACCACACTGCGAAGGGTGACCATGTGCTCTGGTTACAGAGCCTGCACCGTACCTACGGTGACGCTGTCCGGTTCTCTCCAGATGAGCTGAGCTTCACTTCGGCGCAGGCCTGGCGGGACATTTATGGTCATGCTAGTGGCGGTAGAAGAAGCACCGAAAAGGACCGCCGCTTTTACGGCCCGACCCCTTATGGCGCGCCGGATATCATCCGTGCCAATGCGCACGATCACTCGCGCTTCAGGCGGAATTTTTCCCATGCATTTTCGGACAAAGCGCTCCGAAAGCAACAGCCCCTGATCGCACAGTACGCGGATATGCTTGTCGACCAGCTGCAGGAGAGTGCCCGGGAAAACCCGGAGGCCAATGTTGAGATGGTCCGCATGTATAATCTGACCACCTTCGATATCATGGGAGATCTGACCTTTGGAGATCCGTTGAACCTGCTCAAAGGCACTGGGTATATGGAGTGGGTGGGCGGAATTTTCGCCAGTGTGAAGGTGCTCTGCCTCCTGCGCGTGAGCCGTTACTACTCCTGGCTCACTGCGATTATGGCTCTTGTTGTTCCTCGCTCCCTGCGGGAAAAGGCCCGGGCGCACTACAAAGCCTGCAAAGCACGGGTTGATTGGCGAGTCAATCAAACCCTCGACAAGCCGGATATCTGGGGACTCGTGATGGAGCAGAAGGAGTCCCTGCAGCTCAGCCGCGACGAGATGTACTCCAACTCTCAACTGTTCATGGTGGCTGGGACAGAGACGACCGCCACCGCGCTAAGCGGCCTTACGTATCATTTGCTGAGGCACCCAGAGAAGATGCGAAAGATCACGCAGGAGATTCGGGAGGCATTCAAAGACGAAGAGATCGAGATGACTCGGCTCGCGCATTTGAAGTATTTGAACGCATGCATCGAGGAGGGATTGCGGGTTTATCCACCCGTGCCTGTTGGCGCCGCTCGCCGGGTGCCAGAGGGAGGGATGACGGTGTGTGGAGAATTTATCCCAGGAAACGCAAGTAACCCCTTCCGGCTCCTTGTCTATATGAGCACAAGCTTACCAGGCTGCAGATTTCACTCTCCGTGCACCACTGGGCGACATACCGTAGCTCGGAAAACTTCAGGCGACCGAACGAGTTCATCCCGGAACGATGGACTGATGATCCGGAATTCGCCAACGACAATAAGGCTGCCTTCCAACCATTCTCCTATGGACCACGCAACTGTTTGGGCAAGAAGTACGTATTGTCGCTAGCTTAGAATACTCGGCAGTGTCTGTAGCACGATAGCTGACATCTGTAATAGTTTGGCCTATCACGAGATGCGAACTATTTTGGCGAAGGTGCTGTACCATTTCGACTTGTCACTAGCGCCAGAGTCGATGGATTGGGATAAGCAGAAGGTGTTCTCGCTGTGGGAGAAAAAGCCACTGATGGTGAAGCTGCATCCACGGGTCTAGGCCTCGGGCCGGTCGCGTGTGCCGCCGAGAAGAATTCTGGGGACTCTCTGACCAGTGCAAGATCAAGTTGATGATCGTCTTCGCATCGTGTAAACCCATGTCGGATAGAACGGAGATACCAGTGACTTTCTTTGATTCCTCGGGTGAGCCAGGAATTTAGGAGAACTTAGGGAAGCAGTAGCCGAAGTCTTGAAAGCTGCACTCGTACTCTCAACGCAACACATCAGTAAATCTTACGGCAGCAGGACGCACGCGGAATGGTACACACCCATGTATCACTGAGCAGGAGATCCATGGATCCGATCCGTCTCGACGTCTTTCAGACACTTGATCCGAGTCTCCATGTAGACGAACAGTTATTTGCGACTGAACGGCGGGCAGTAGTAAGTAGTAAGTTAACCTACGAGTAGCTCTCCTGCGGGCGGTGAGGCGGGCTCAGTTGGAAGTTCCGATTTAGAAACTCCGACGGCAAAATCTCGGGCCGAAGCGGACGTGCTTGAATAGGTACCGCCGTTTACGGACTAGGAAAGAAAGAGTTCGGGTTCGCAGCCTGAGGCATCAAGGCTCCTTGCTCCTTCTAGTATCCCCACACCGGAAGAAATTCCCTTATTCTTCATTAGGGTTGAGACAGTGCAGTCCAGTACTTTAGGGTAGGCACCTAGTGACAATCCACTGTGTGGAACTCACTTAGCTTAGCGTCTATTGTGTTATCCAAACTGCACTCGGACAACAAAAGTACCTCATTGCCTACACAGGTACAGTCCCTGCTAGACAATGGTGACGTCAGGGATCGTGGCCACCAATGATGAGGGCGGGCAAGATAGTTCCGAATGGTGGCGTTCTCTCCTGGGATACTTTCAGGCCCATCTGGCCGTCATTGTCCGTTTTCCCGTGCGACGAATGCCGCTGGTTCGCCTATCGTGCCCACACGGTGGCCAGACGCGCTCCTTGAACATTATTCCCCCTTTCCAGTTAGAACTTAAGATATATTCCGCCCATCTCCCTCCCAATGCAGCCCCTGTGTGTCCACCATAACAAAAGATCTTCGCTGTTGATTTCCTGAGGACCGATCGCAATTGGCGGGTCTTCGAGGAGGGACTGTACTGAACACTTGGGTCTCTGACGATCAGTCGGAAATGGCGACCGGGTCATTGTGTAGCTGCATGGTTGGGTGGTTTTCGCCACTGCCTTCCTTCTTCTTCTCTTCTCTTCACCTCCCGGTTCCCTTCTCCGTGGAATTCCTTTCATCTTTCCTTTCGTTTGAGCGAGGGATGTCAACAACCGTATGCGAAACGATTGTGTGTTGGGTTTGCACCATGGTTCCTGCACCACACTGAGGTGTAGCACACTCTACCAGGACCTTTCAATTCGACGCAAATCCTACCTCTTTGAAAGATAATGCGATGCCGAGTTGGTTCTGTCTACTCATATGTGCAGTCGAAACCTCATCAACTTATCGCATAGTCCAGAGAACCTGACCCAGACCAGTGACCGGCTAGCCGAACTTCCAATTCTTCTCGAGGCCTCGGCTCGTCTTCGTTTTGCGTTCATGCACTGTACAATGCCGTATCTTCTTGCAGTCCCGGCGTATATCCGTAGTCGCTGGCGGGGTTTCCTTGTTCTGCGTCGTTCGCTGATCAGCACGCCAATGCACAGGAGCAGTATGCGACAATAAATTCTCATGAGCGATCCCTACCGTCTATCCTTTTTACCGATCATGCTCTAACCGCAGAAGCAGTCAAACCTGGAGTGTGGATGTGTCATCCTCGCTCGCAATTTTCGCTCCTCCGCACTGGGTAGTTTGGGGTGCGGTTTCAGTGCCCCGAGATGGGGCTTTACCATGACCCCTATGCAGATGACCATTAGGTCTCTTGACAACACCACTGTTCACCCCCAAGAAACATGTGTTACTCATTGCGGACAGCATCGCCGTCTCGCAGCTCTCTTGTGGCTCTTCTCTCCTAATATAACCGGAGAGAACGGTCCGGGCGGATAGGCATCGGTTCGGGTGGTCTGAAATCATCAGGAACATAGTTTTACATGGCAGCAATAAAGCTTTGCTCCTTGAGGGATTCCAATGATTTACGGATCGTGCCATTCTCGTGGTTGCGAAGCGCTTCGCGATGTACGACGACCGGAGGTGAGGGCGAATGTCTGTTGGGCGACGGGGTTCGAAGACGGGAAACTCTTCCATTACGCGAGAACATTTGACGGCTTTGGCGTTTTTTACCGGTGGGGATGTATAGTCGATGCGTTCAATGCATTCTTGCATGGTTTGCAGTGGCTTTGAGACTTCTCGGAAGGCTTCACAAGAACCACGGTCGGATGTATCATGTGTTGCTGGGATACACACAATGTGGTTAACAAGTTGATTGACAAAGTGTTATCCACGGTTGACCAGGCCGCCGACGTGGTTGAGAAGCGGGTGGTTGACGGTCGGTGTTGCTCGCTTCCCCCGGCCTATGCCTCAGGCTCTAGTCGCCGGATGACGGGAGTTGCCTTCAAGCTGTTCACTTCAGCACACGGACTGGGAAGGATAAATGAAGATCCATCCCGTAAGGCAACCCTTGCGTCAATCACTCAAACCAAATGATGTCAAAGGAAAAGAGAAGAAAAGACATCAAGGGGGAGGTTGACCGGTGTGGCCCATTAACCCTGTCGACTGTTGATACCTCGTGCAGCTGAGAGTTTCGGTGGTGGAAAGAGACTCCTCTCCCCGGCCAGATTGGTGACATGTATTGGATTGGCGGGCCCGCAACGGGGCATGCAAACCGCACAACAATAATAAGACCCCCTCCCCGGTATAGCAAACAGGTAGGGTCAAGGGTAGAAGAGGTCACAGAGGGATAGAACGAAGCAGGTGGGACACGCACGCACAGGGGGACAGAGAGACAGAGAGAGAGAGAGAGAGAGAGAGAGATAGAAAGAGAGCGTGCAAACGTCCGAGTGCTGGGAGTTGGTCTGGCCAACTGAGTTTTCGCTTCACATGATTCAATCATACTTACTACTTCCAGCAGGTCGTTGTCTATCAGTCATTCTCGGCCCAAACTTGCAGCCATTCATGTCGCTTGCACTTGACAAGCAAGCACTTCGTCCAATTTTTGCGACGGAGCTTTTGCTTACTTGCCAATTGGCTTTCGGGTATCCTGGGTGTTTGCAGACGTTGCATCATATTCGGGAGTTTGCTGCCGAGCGGAGTGTCAACCAGGACCTTACTCCGTACGCTTTCGTGGTCTCTCCAGTGGCGGATTTGGGCCTTCAAGACCTGGGGCAGGGTTCCAAGTTAATCTAATTCCCACCTGATTCGCGTTACTCATACGCATCTCGAACCAACACACCACATGACTGCCGGTACTCTTTTCCATGATCGGGATGGTTTACCTGTCCTCACCTGTCTCTTATCTCTCTCATTCTTGGTCTGACCCTTGGCGGTCTGGCACTATTCGTCCCTAGCGCTCTATGGATACAAATCCTGGCTGCTTGTCCGGCTTCTACCACTTTCTACCGCTGTGCTGACAATTAGGGGATTCTTGCCGTCTTGGGCTGGGATCTACGGGCCGCCAACCGGCAAAGTTATCTAACCAGCCAAAACCCCAACATCAGACTGGCATTGTTCTTTCTGTCATGGTGTCTCAATTCGATGAATCCTTTGAGATTCGTCCACATGAGAGGGTCGAGACTGATGATGATTGATGATTTGTTCTGTTCATCTGCCACCTGGAAAGGCCAACATGGGGGGACAGTTGCCTCGCCCGATGCACAAATATGGTCACTTGGGTCTGGACCATTGCACACGGCAAGCATCTCACCTGGCCTGGCGTCAGGCGGTGCGATACATCACCTCATCATGCAGACTCATCTCCATGCATGCTTGACTTCACAACCTAATGATCATCGATGAAAACCGAGCAGGAAGAGTAAAATCCTTACGTGTCCTCTCTCGGTAGCGGATACAGAAGCCCGCTAGAGAGGTCTTAGGTCTTCTAGATTGTCAGTAGTTTCGCAAACCCCGTGCGCAGAGTCCAAGGTGATTCGAAGAGGCCTCCATTTCAGGCCTCCGACATTTGGTGGAACAGCTCGGTCGCCTCTGCGGTCGATAGACACGAGCCTGTTTCCGGTCTTAGTCCCATGTCTGCTATGTAAGACACCCACCTGTCGGGTGTCGTGGAAATCGTATTGCTCGCTTCCTTTGGGTCTGCAGACTGAGAGAAATTAAAAATGATTGATCGTATGAGATCTTGAGTGTGACCGACAAATTGTTTGGGAAAAAGTGCCGCACGGGTTGACATGAATCTGGGCCGGCTTTCGGTAGCCGGTCTATGATGTTGGCATGCAGGCGTGGGAGGAGTGGGTGGGTGGGTATGGGTTGGGAGAACTATTCGAATGTTCGAATACCAAAAGGGGGGAGAAGAGGCCCATTGTTCAGCAATGACAAAAATATTACGCCATAAGCATAAGCTGGAAAAGTGTTCCGACCGGTCAATGGGATGAGAGATAGGAGATGTGCTTTGGTGTTTTTTTTTTTTTTTTTTTCTTTTTTTTTTTTTTTGTTTTTCCTTGCCCTTTTTACCCTTTTTGCCCTTTTTTCCCACGGGACAAGCAGGATTGACTGGCAACGGGAATCAGGTGAGCTTCAAAATTGACTGTCAACTGGCAGGTAAGCAACCATGTTTACAGTACCTAGTAGCCGTGTTTGTCTCCCAAACAAACTCGGAGGGCGATCGACTACAGAGTGCCGACTCGGTCCACTTCCACACCACGCTATGACGTTATCATCCGTTCGTCCCTGCTCCCATCCAACCTCAACTCTTTCCAACATTCTCTCCCGAGTCCCCTTCACAACCACCGCAGCCACTCACGCGCTCCTTTCTCTCCCCCCCCCCATACCAAACGCCACACCACGTTTTGACCCGAATCTAGGGGATGAGAAGAAAAGCATGGGTGCACGGCTCCATGGGTTCATGATTGGGGATTGGGGTTCCTAGCATCCTGACTGGATGGAAAAAGGTACCTTTCTGTGGCTCGTCCCGGATCACCAAGCTAACCTGAATCAGGTAGTGAGAAAGGTACCCAAGTTCCCCAAATTCCCAAAATCCTCCCTTCCGAATCCCAAGAAATTATTGTTTCCAAATCACAAAAGGCTTGAATGATGGCTGCTGGGACCCGCCCCTCCCCAACATGGTCCTCCGTGCACGCTTGGCCCCTCGCAAGTCCTCTTTCCCAAACCAATCGTACATCAAAACATTGTGACTTTGTGAGAGACAAAGAGAATATCCCGGCCCCGAAAAGCCCAGTGGCGGCCGAGGACACTGAAGGGACCCCCCCTCTCTTCCCCCACCCCTTCCTCCTCCTCTGGGCTCTCCGGCTCTCTGTTCCTTTCTTTGTGTCTTTTCTAGCCCCAAAACGAGGCTAATGCGAAGTCCAGGTCTGTTCTGGACCAGGCCTTGATTGGGTGGGAGTTTCTGCCAACCATCAGTAACCCGCCGTCAGCCCGGCACGATCCCCCCTTCCCCCCACCCTCTCTCTTAGCCTGTCTGTCCTGTCTCCTCCCTCCCCTTCCTTCCATCTCGTCGCTCCCCCGACCCGGACAGACCAGTCCTAGCTGGTTAGGCCCGCAGAGATTCAGTTTGGAGCCCAAGATTCCAGAATGATCAGACGTCTTTCTTCTAATTGGTGAGGATTTTTAAGGTTCTTGTTCCGGTTGTGCCCTTGCTCTAATACAGGGGGCAAGCAACAAAATGGTGGGCGGGACACAGAATAATATTATTATTGCAATAATTCCACATCGACAGTGACGAAACGTCGGTTACAGGCTATCCCTCGGCCTCATTCCTTATCCGACCTATATAACAGTATCGTCAACACGATTGCTGCAAGGTCCGTTTCCCCCTCCCCTCCCGCCCCGTCTCATTTTGCCACCCGGTGCGCTTTTCGTCCCAGGACAACCTCTTCCTGCTTGTTGTCTTGACCTGGTTATCATTCACCTGGTTCAGTCTGTATTAATGTCCGATCCGCAGTCCGCCTCCCGCTCACTCGCTCCTGCTCCCGGCCTCCCGCAAAACTCGAAGAGTCCCGACAATGTAGTTCAGGGTCGGAAACATAAAACCACCGCCTGCACGGCGTGTAAGCAGAAGAAGCTCAAAGTAAGTGAACCAAAGGAAGACATGACTGATAGAGTGCGAATTTGATTATTTTTCAGTGCAGGGGAGATCCACCATGTCAACACTGCGTGGCCAACGGCATCGAGTGCCATGTCGACGAGATGGCTGATATGCGTCGCAAATTCGCCATGAAACGGAAGCTGGAGCGACTCGAACAAGCCGAAGAGACTCTGACGCGGCTGCTCGAAACCCTTCGAGATAGCGAAAGTAAAGATCTAGCCCAGGTGCTGAATCTCATCCGAAGCAACGCCTCATTCGACGAACTCCAATTGTATCTCGACAAGCAGTTGTCCGGGGATGGTTCTGAAATATCACCGGGCCTGCAGCAAGTTCGAAACCAACTTACTCGCCCATCCGAAGAAGCCGATGAAGTAGGTCGGTCTGCGCGGAGTGGCAGCCGCCGGATTCTGGATGTGCGCCGCCTCGCAGACACCCCGGTCTATCGAGTACCCGCAAAGCCGTGGACGAGGGTCACCGACGACGACGAATTGGTATCTCATTTGGTTTCGCTCTGGTTAACGTGGACCTATCCGTTCTTTGACTGGTTGGACAAAGATGCCTTCATCCGGGATATGCAGGCAGGCCGACTCAACTGCCAATCCTGTACACCATTCCTGGTAAATGCTATTCTCGCGGAGGCTAGTGTATGTTGCCTATCTTAACTTGTGCTTATAGCGTCGCTTGGTTGAGGTGACGGCTCATTCATGATTCTTATGCGTGGCACAGTATCTTTCCGACTACGCCGAAGTATTTACCGTCCCAAACGACATGTTTTCTCGAGGTGATCACTTCTACGAAGAGGCGCGTCGATTGTTAGAGGAAGAGGAAGGGCCAGCCAGTCTACCGACCATTCACGGCCTCCTCGTGCTATTTATCCGGTGAGTGTATTGCCTACCACCTTTAGTCATTCCACCTAACGCCGCGTCGTGTCAGCCTCACTCTTATGGGAAAGGATAGATTGGGTTGGATGTATCTCGATCTAGCCATCCGAGCGGCCCAAGAATATGAAACTGCACATCCACCTAGGTCGACGAACTCGGAATCTGATTGCATTCTTGAAGATGCGGCCAATCGCACTCTCTGGGGCGTCTTCAGCATGGCTTCGTATGTACTTCGCACCTGCTGGTCATGCTCTTGACTGACCAAGCCAGCACGGCCAATGTTTCCCTGATGAAGCACCTTAATATTGATCCCCCGCGGCGCCCACGCATATCAATGCAACACGGCGATTCTGAGGACATTTGGTATCCGTATCCTCGCGAAGTGGAATCCGTACCAGGGCACCATCCCTGTGTTTTCGACCGCTGGTGTGATCTTTCTTGCATCCTTATCACCATCAGTCGCGCCTTTCATGATT